CACATAGTTAGTGGAAAAGCTGGCATATGAACCAGGTCCTTCCACCTCCACAGCTTAAGTGCTAGCTCCTCTCGTCTCTGTTGTCTCTCTCTGAAGCCTGGACACGCTCACTTGGGCCCTGGCACTGCCTCCCTGGTGCCAGGATGCACCCCTTCTGAAAAGTCAGCTTGCAGATTGAATCTTCGTTCCCCTCTGACCTGCATGCCAATCTCAGTCCTGTGCAATCAGCCACAAAGGATTGCAGGCCAATAAAAACAGCTATCATTTTTCTAGCTCCTGCCTCCCCCACCCTCATCCTCTGGCATTATATTTGGTACTTCCTGTTCCTTATCTCATTCCATCCTCAAGACAACCCTATGCAGTCACTATTCTTTTACGTATTTTACAGACAAGGAACCTCAAATTCAGAGAGGGCAAGTAACTTTCCCAAGATCACACAGCTGGTGAATGGCAGAGCTAGGACCCAAATATGAGTCTGCCTATTGCAATAACCTCCCAAATACATGCCGTCCCCTCCATGGCCACAGGGCAGCAGCTTCCAATCCTCTGGCTTCAGGGCCTTTGGACGTCCTACCCTACATGGGAACCCAGTTGTTTAGTCAATCATCTGCTCATTTAGCATTCCCTGAGTGTATATGTCAGGTTCCTATTGGCCGCATGAGGCAGAAACCAACAAAATAAGTTGGAGCAATAAAGGAATTTATTGGCTCTTATAGATGGGTGGGATATTGTTTCAGCTCGCAGGACTGAAAGAAAGGCTGCAGGAAGCAAGGCCACGAGAGCCCAGATTGGGACTCAGTGTTGCTAGTTTGCTCTCTAAATTCCTCTCCCCTCTGTTGCCTTGCTTGGCTCCTACATTTAGTGGGAAGGATGCCTTGTCCACAGCCTCCGGCCCATAGCGTCCAGCTTCGTGCCCCAGTAGGAAGAAGGCGTCCTCCTCCCAGCATCACATATCAGTCCCAGGGCAAGAGTCAGATTGGTCCAGCTCAGGTAGCATGCCCACTCCTCGGGCCAGTCACTGCTGCTGGAGGCTGGGCTTCTATGATTGGTGCAGTCAGGGTCACACGCCCATCTGCTGGCAATGGGGTAGGGATGGGGTGGGAGTAGTGGGCACTTTAAATGACAACCCACTAGAACTACGTGATGACAGAGAAGAATCTCCAAAGGAAAGGGATGCCAGAGGTGAGACAATGGAAAACAGGCTAAAGAGGTAAAAGTTACTAGCTGTCACAGCCCACTACACTGGTCCACGTGAGAGACAGGCGCAGACACAACACAGACACCATCCTGGGGCATTCACGGCCACACAAGGAAATAAGGCTAACAGACACGAAGCCATTAATAAGAGGTGATAGCAGCTACCATTTATGGAGCACCTACCAGGTGCCAGGCATTGGGCCAAGTAATTCCATGGGCATCATCTGATTCCATGCTCACAACAACCCTGGAAAGTAGGTACTATTATCATCCCTATTTTTCTGAGTCAAAGAGACAGTATAAAACAACCTATTTTTTCCTTTTTGGCAAGAAAGCCAATACAGGAAAAAATAAAAATCTTTATGGGCTCCTTATCCCTGCTCAGAGAGGTTAAGTGACTTGCCCAAGGTCACACAACTAGTGCATTAAATGAACATCCCGGGAAACATTTGGTTAAGGGCCAGAAGAGTGCTTCTGTTTCTCCCCATTGACTGAAGGACCAGGGAAGGCCGTCTGGAGGTGGCGGCTGGATCTAAGCAGAGATCTGAAGGATGGGACATCTGGGCAGGTGGCCAGGGAGACTGGGGGAAGAGAGGATGGCTCAATTCCCAAACATGAAGGAAGCCGACCTAAGCAGCACCCAGAGCCTATCTATTCCCTCTCGCCTGTGGCAGCCCTTTGGAGGTTTACTGCCAGAGACCCCTTCTCCTGAGTCTCCTCTTCTCCAGCCTGCCCTGACTAGCCTAACCGTTCTTCACAGGACATATACGCCAGTCCCATCCCCTCCTCCATCCTGACTGCCCTCCTGTGGACACGCCCAGTGAATTGGGGTTCTAGACATAGTTTGATCCACAGAAGCGACAAAAGAAATGTCACCTCTCATTTTCCTAAACGCTGCACTTCTATTAATGAGACACAAGATCAATTAAATATTAAGTAGTCACACCCCGTCCTCTCAAACTGAGTTCACTGTTTCCTAATACTCCTAGTTCAAGCACATGTCCCCATCCTGGACATGGGCAGATGGTTCCATGGACCTATGACAAGAAACTCGATTTTCTCAGGCTCAGCCCATTTTTGATCTTAGCTATCCTTTAGCATCACAGCTTCCACGAAAGTGACTGGTGGGACGGGATGATTCCAGTTATAGGAAGTACCTAGAGAAGTCAAACTCACAGAGACAGAAAGTAGGATGGTGGTTGCCAGGGGCTGGGAGGGTGGGGAACAGGCAGTTATTGTTTAATGAGTACAGAATTTCAGTTTTTCAAGATGAAAAGAGTTCTAGATATGGATGGTGGTGATGGTTGCACAACAACGTGAATGTACTTAATGCAACTAAAATACACACTTAAAAGTGGTTAAGATGGTAAATTGTACATGTATTTTACCATAATTTTTTTAAAAGTGATTTGTGGGCCCTCTGGATTCACCTCCCCAGGAGAGCATCTCCCCCTCCCCAGGTGGCTGAATTCCCACCCTCACAGCTTCCGGAGGACACGCTAAGAGAACTAGGAGAAAAGTGAAACCATCAGTACCCAGAACACATCACTGTCCCTGGAATTCAATGTCCCTGTGGGCCAGACTCAAACCACCATCCAGCCCCATCTCCCTGGACCCCTCGCCTCTAGTTTAAGATCTATACTCCCTTGTCACCTAAACTTTTGACAATGTCACCTATACTCACTAGCTCCTATTCCTCACCAACCACTCAGCCCTCAGTGTCCCACAATTTGGCTCCTGCCATCTTCCTTCCCCGCCCCTCAAAAAACCCGTGACTTCCACATCACCAGTGGCCTCCTGAGTCCTGAGGCCAATGGGCACTTTCCATTCCTCCTCTCACAGCCGTTCTCTGCAGCCTCTGACACTGCTGAGCTTGTGCTTCCTCCACACCCTCACCTCCTGGGCCTGCATGACACTCCACTCTCTCGGTTCTCCTCCTGCCTGCCTGACGGCTCCAGCCCCATCTCACTGAGGGACTCTTTTCCAAGGTTCCAGCCTAGATCTACTGCTTTCATGAGTAGCCCACACAGTCTTCCTGCTTAACCTCATCCCTTCTAGTGATGATAAAAAAAAAAAATCCTCTCAAGCCCAGGCACAGACCACATACTCACCTGTCTTCAGGATATCTCCAACTGTACCGCTTGTCCCAAATTGGACTCCTCATCTTCACCCACACCTGCTCTTCCCCTCTGATTTGTAACTTATCTGGTGGCACAACCATCTACACCGTTTCCGAAGCTACAAACCAGAGGCATCCTGGACTCCTGCTCCCCGTCCCTCTCCAAGTTCAGGTCTCTAAGCCAGGCCATGTTCTCCCAGGTACTTCTCAAACACCCCTCTCTCCATCCCTGCTGCTGTGCAGGCCACTCCTCTCTCAGCCGGACTCTTCCAACAGCCTGCTAAAGGTCTCCTCCTGGCGGCCTGGCCCTGAGATCCACCATCCACAGGCCCCAGGGGCTCTCCTGAGAAGGCTCCTCCTCGACAGCATCACCATTCCTCTTTGCCCCAGGATCAATCCAAGCTCCTAACCAGGTCTCTGAGTCTCTTCAGGATCCGGTCTTCCTCTAGGCCACCTTCCAGGGAGCTGTCAGAACGCGTCTCTAAAAGGCCGCAGTTGCGCAAACTCCCGGGCCCCTCACTTCTGCTTCTGAGCCTCTGCTCTCAGCCTCCTCCCGGCCTGGAATGCTCGCCCCTCCCCCACACTGACACTCACCTGGGTAACTCCCCTGCTGCTTCGACATTCAGCTCAGGGGTCGCCTCCAGGAGAGCCTGCTAGTCTCTGGCCTGAGTTGCTCCCGCCCTCCCGACTCTCTTACAATTGCTTCCAGAACTTGCCTTTGTCCTGCATTTACCACCCCTCTAGCTGTGAGCGTCCTGAAATGCTGCTTTTCCTTCTTGTGACCCTAGAGTCTAGCATGGGGTCTGGTACATAGAAGGTGCTGAATAAATGTTGAGTAAATGGATGAATAACTAAATGAAATGACCTGTGTCTAAGGCACACCCGCCATCTGAGGAGGCTCCAGCTCCCAGCCCCACCCAGCCCAGAGCTTGGCACACAGTAGGTGCTCAGTAAAGGTTGTGATTCTGATTTAATATGATTTAAGGCAATGTCTGGGGTAGTTTGAGGTATGCTGGGGGGAGGGGGAGGACCTGGATGCGGAGAACAGCCCAAAGGGAAGCTTGGGGCGCACCGCAGTGGGGGAAGGGGCAATGGGGGTGTCTGCAAAGCTGGGAAGGAACTGAGCCAGTCCCCAGGCTGCTGCCCCTCCGCGCCCCGAGGTCAGCCGGAGTCCGGCCGCGCGAGGCCGCCTCCCGCCCCGCCGGCGCAGGGCTCTCCCCTGCCACCCGGGCGGCGAGACTCCCGGCTCGCGCGCTCGGCGCCCGGCGCTGGGAGGCGTGTGTGTCGCTTTAAAAGCTCCCTCCCGGCGCGCGGGGCCGGCCCTTCGCTGACAGCGCGGAGAGCGGAGCCCAGCGAGCCGGCGGCCTCGGAGGGAGCCAGCGCCCGCCCGGGCGGCAGTCCCGCGGGGGCCGGCGGGGCGGGCCGGGGGCGGCCGCGGGCGGGCGGGCGGCGCGGCGCTCGGGGAGCGGGCCCAGGCCCGCGGAGCCCGGCGGGGCAGGGCAGGGCAGGGCGAGGCGAGGCGAGGCGGCGGAGGCAGGCCCAGCCCCGACCCGGCGCCCGGGGGCCGGCGAGGCCGCGGGCCGCGAGGGAGCGGGCGCCGAGCGGAGGCCGCGAGCCCAGTGCGCCCGGCCCGCCGCGCCCCTCCCCTCGCCGCCCGCGGCGCGCCTCCTCCCTCGCTCTTCTCGCCTCCTCGCCTCCGCCGGCCGGGCCGCCGGGGACCCGGCCCCGCGGCCGACACCGCCCCTCCCGGGGGCCCGGGGATCCCGGACCTCTCCGGCCGTGGACTGAGCGGCGGCGGCGTCCTCGCCCCGGCGGCCCGCGGGGCTGGGAGGAGCGGATCCTCGCGGCCGCTCCGGACGCGGCGGGTGCCAGAGCGCGGACGTTCGGGGTCCGGGCTGAGCAGGTCCCGGGCGCCCGGCGAGGCCAGCTCACTCCGGGCGGGCAGACCCGGCGGAGCCCGCAGCCGGCCGATCTGGACTGGACAGAGCGAGTTCCGGACGGCGCTGAGCCCGGGGACGGCCGGGCGCGGGCCGAGGGCATCCCGGCGCCCTCCGATCCCTCCGACTTTGGTTCACGCGCTGGGACCGGTCCGGCGTCGCCTCGGTCTCCCTGCGCCCGGGTCACCTGTGGCCTCGGAGCCCCGGGCCCCCCGGACGCTCGCTCATTCCCCGCCCGGAGCCCGGCGGGGGTCGGGGGAGCTTTTTCCTGCCCCCTTCCGTGGAGCGCGGAGGCCCCGCCCCCTCCCACCGCCCAGATGTCTCCGGTGGCGGCTCTGAGGACCTCCCTGAGGCCAGGGGCCGAAGGGTCCAGAGAGAGAAGCCCGCCCTAGAGAGCCTTGGGGGCCCCCCAACCTCATCTTGGGGCTTGGCCCCCGACGCTGCTCGGAAGGAAGGCCGGTGCCCCCACCCTCGGTGAGTCCGGGAGCGGATCGGGGGTTCCGAGGGAAGGCGGGGCTGGGGAAGGGAGGGTCCGCTGGGACCGAGGGCGCCCTGGCGGCACTAGGAGGGAGGACAGACGACTGGAGAGGCCCTCTGGTGAACTGGAGGGCCAGGCTTGGCTAGGGACGGGGGTTGGGAGAAGCTGGGGCAGAGTGCCCCCTCGCAGGCTGAGGACTTCCGCCTCTAAAGCAGGGGCTCCCTCCTTTCCTTCTAGAGGAGGGGCTGTGCTGTAGACCATCTGCCTCCACCACCCCTCCCCACAAAGAAAAAAGAATAAATTCCCAGCGAGAAAGGGTGCATGCTGGGGAAAGGAGCGAGGCAGCGGCATTGCCGGCTGGTGCTGCAGCCTGGGAGGGCTGACGCCAGGCTCGCTCTCTCTGCAGGGGGCTGCCCTCCTCCAATCCAGCTCAGCTTGCCAGAGCTGCCCACATCTGGAGCCCCCTCCACTTCTGGAAGACCCCAGCCACCATCCCTCTGCAGGTGTCAGTTGCATCCAGAGATCTCTGCCTTTGCCACTGCCTAGGAGTTGTGAGGGGATCACGGCTGCCTTCCCCCCAACCCAAGGGCATCTCTTACCCTTAGTCCCTGCAGAGTCATCCCCCTGCCTCTGTGTTCAGGCTCAGCCAGAGATCAGCTCAGCACACCCACAGGCACTTCAAGTCCTAGAGGCCACTCCTGAGACCCAAGGCCCCTCCCCCTGCCCTCTTGTGTCCTCACCTTGACCCCCTGTGACAGGCTCTGTGTCCCTCTGGGTGTCCCGTTCTTCACCCAGAGGCAGAGGAGGTGGGGTGGCAGAGGGCAGGGACTGGGTGAGGGCCACCCAGGGCCAGGGTGGGCTGGGGGGCCGTTAAGATGAGGAGCTCTGCCTGGCTGAGGGGGGCTCCGTGGAGGCAGACGCAGTGTGTGCCCGGCTGGGGGGAGTATGGGCAGGCCTGCGGCCACGTGGTAAAGGATGAACATTCGGGGCACCCCGGACCTCGGGCAGCCCAGTGACGACCCCAGCAGTGGTGGCGAGCGGGAACGGATTCGACAGCGCATGAAGATGGTCATCGGGCAGCTCGAGGGCATCCTGCGGGAGCTCAAGGAGGTGGCCAAGGAGCTAAGGGAGGTGAGTGAGGGGCCAGACAGATCCTTGACCAGTTTTCCTAGGCCTGGCACAAAAACGTACTCACACATATGTGTTAAGTGTGTGTGTGCACACAAAGCTATGTGCATGTGTGACACTCTGCTGGGGACCTCCTCCTGGTTCTCCTTTCCCAAATCTGCTTTGCTAAAAACCTCACCAAACCCCAGGGCTGGAGGGGCCTGGGTGTTTCAGAGACTGCCTGGGCAGCATGTCATGGGCCCACGGCTCTGTGGTTAGCACTCAGGGCTGCCAAGGTGGCCACTAGGGACTGAATCCCAGCACAGCCTCTTAGTGGGAGACACTCTTCTGGGGCCCAAGCTGACCTTTGACCCTACCATCTGGCTCCTTGACTCTGACCTGGTGGCAAAGAGCCCTGGGAGAGTGTGTGTTGCTCTACTGAGGCAGACCGCACTGCTTGAGGCCCAGCTCAGAGCCTTCTCCAGAGATCACATGGAAACTCAGAACCCTGGGTCCTGGAAAAATTAAAACCAGCTGTGCCCCCCTGCCCTGAGGTGGGAATGGGTGTGGTGGGCTGCTGTGGGTGCCAGAGTTCTGTGTCCGTTCGCAGGGGCGGGAATCTCCTCGAAAGGGATGCTTTGCTGGATGTTTTTTGCCAAGGCTGAAAAGTCTCCTGGAGATCCTGGGATGTGTGTCCCTCTCTGTCTAACCGGAGCCCGGTTTAATTACTGCTTCCCACATCGCTGGGGTAATGAGGTACACATGTCCTCAGCCCTGCCCCCTGGGCTGTGTTCAAGCCCAAAATGCATGACTAGCGTTCTGAGCCGCTGGCCTGAATTTGCCCGCTGGGTGCCATTACACCAGCCAGGTGGGCTTTAGGCAAATTTCAGCTCCTTGTAACCAGGGCCCCTGCAGAGATGGCCTGGAGAGTGATTGAACTGGAGTTATGGGCTCGAGCTCTCCCCAGCCAGCTGTGCAGGGTGGATGAGGCTCTAGAAGGATTGAGGAGAGGGGGGATGTTGGTACCGACTCCAGACTGGCAAAGTGGCATTCCAGCCTGGCCTGAGAGCCAAGGAGCAGGGGGTGTTTGAAAGGAGCTGTGTCCAGAGTGGAGGGGTTTGTGGAGATGCTGGGACAGGAGCTGAGGTTGGACAGGGCAGCCCTCTGCCCAGAGTCAGCCTCATGGAGGCTGCTAGGAAGTCCTCTCTCAGGAGGTGGAAATAGCTGTTTCTCAGGTAGAGAGAGACGGTGCTTCCGCTCATGGACCAAGCTGGCCAGAGTGTGGGCTGAACATCTCTGGGGAATACAGTTTAGAGATCAAAGGCCAGATGACCCTGAGCAACCCCTCCTCCCCCAACCTCATTGGTTTAAAGGACTACAATACCCCCTCATGCCTCCCCACTTCCATCTCATTTCAGCTGCTCTGTGCTTCCATTGGGCCAAAGGAACTGTCCAGAGTCTCAGTCTTGGGAAGGGCATGGGACCTATGCCCAGCAGGCCTGCCCAGAAAGAGCCAGGATTGACTCTAAGCCTGGGAGTCAGCTTTCGTACAGCGCAGAGCCTACTCCCAAGTGAGCATCTTCCAGGCATCTGCCTCCCCTTCTTCCCTCCCCCAGCATAGCTATCCAGAGCTCCAGAGCTTGAAGTCATGCCACAGGTCATCCAGACCAGCCCTGTCCATTTACTGTTGAAGAAACTGAGGCCCAGAGAGGGAGAGGGGCTTGTCCAAGGTCACACAGCCTACCAGTGAAAGAACTAAGCCTAGAATTCAGGTTGTTGATGCCTATTCTGGGGCCTGAACAAGTGGGCTAATGAGTGATCTTTTTGCATTTTGACAGGGGCTTTCTAGAGCTGATAGCTTATGCTCATGGAGTGATGCTCTGAGGGGGAGCCCTTTAGGGGATGAGGCAGCAAGATCAGAAGCACTGGGACTTATTCGCAGATCTTTTAGATGTTCCCTCTCTCCCTTCTCAGCACACACACCCCCCCACTCCCATGTCTCGAACAGCAGAGCTTCAAGTTCACAGGCTGTGCAGCCCAGAGGCCTGAGCCAGGACAGAGAAAGATGAGTCCCCTCCCCCCACACACCCTGTAGGCCATGTGCCTCCACCCAAGACTTTGGCAGGTTGCTATGGCAACCAGAGTCTGCCCCGTATGCCACCGCCTGCCCGCTGCCAATGGCACCCAGCTGGGAGGAGGGGTAGGCCTCAGAGCTCCCCCACCTCCAGGCAGGGTCTGGACATGGGCTGATGGGCAGAGGGGAGAGTTGGGTAAGGCAGGTAGGGCTCTGGGAGGCTCAGGCAGAAGAGGAGATGCCATAACTGCCTTCTTGTGCGATGGGATTTGTCAGGAATTGGCTTACCAAGTAGGGGTGCCAGGCCCTGGTTTGGGGTAAAGGGTTGCAGCCCCCCTGCTCCCTGGAACCCGTGATCTTGGCTCTTGGTCCTTCCAGGGGGCTGTAAAGCTGAGTCTACCTGGCTCTCCTTCTCAGTAACTTTGTGTGGCATTCTTCCATCTGGGGTATGGGCAGACCCAAGGTCAAGAGGGTGGCAGGCACTTGCTCTCTTATCATACCCCACTCCCCAGACAGCGCCAGCTCAGAGCTCACCAGCTGCGTTCTTGTCTCAGGAGGGCAAAGCACTCAGATGTGAAGACAAGTCATGCAAGACTGCCAGGGAACAGCACAGGATGCTCGAGGAAGGAGCAAGGCCAGCAGAGAGGAAGGGCTTAGCTGTAACCCCCTCTGCCATCCTCCTCCTCTGTCTGCTGCTCCCCTTCCCCAGCCCCAGACACCGCTGCTCATGGCAGACCCTCCTCATCCTCTTGAGCGCACAGCCTAAAATTCACAGAAAGGTGAGAGACGCTAAAGCACTCCTGAGCCTCTGTCTGCTCATCTCAGAAGTGGGGTTGATGATCATTCACACCTCAGAGTGATCTTACAAGGACTCATGGGGGCTTTGCATGCAGTAGGGGGGCCAACACTTACTCGCACCCCCTCTCCCATACCCCCCTGCCCTCCCAAACCCCTGCTGCAGCTCTGTCACTGGCTCCCCAGGTGCTGAGGAGCAAGGTCTGTCCCCTGGGTGGGGAAAGTACTTTAATGGACTAAGTGAAGTGAGGAACGTAAAAGCACTTTGAAAGCTCAGCTGTGCTGCAGAGGGATGTGCCGGTCAGTCAGTCATTAGCCCTCATCTCTCTTAGGCTCCCCAACGCTCCAGGATGCCAGGCCCATCCCAGCCAGTCTCTAAGCTCCTTGAAATTCTGTGGATCTTAATTTAGAGACACAGCACAGCCTAGGGGCCAAGAGCATGGGCTCTGCCGCCAGGTGTCTCTGGTTCAAATCCAAGCTCCGCCCCCTTCCTAGCTGTGTGACCTTAGGAAAGTTACTTTACCTTTCTTTGCTTCTGTTTTCCCATCTGTAACAAGAGGATACAGAATTTTGCCCCCCTCCCCCTGCCCCGAGCCCCAGGGTTGTGAGAATTAAATGCAATATTATATATGAAGTACTTGGCACAGTGATGGGCACAACAGTAGCTCCATATCTGTTAGAGATTGTTAATGAACTATCCTAGCGCTGGCCTGCTCCTCACTCCATGTATGGCCTCGTTCTTCTGGAGTCATATCAGCTCAGGAGCCGTGATCAGGGAGGTCAGAGCCAGGACTCCGGCCTCCTGGCTGGCACCCTTTAGTTTCTCCTACAGTAGGCAGTCCCACCCTCTTCCAGCAGGGAAAGGGGATAGAGAGGGACAGTGATGGGGCTGGGAAGAGGGTCTCCAATAAGATGGCTTTTAAACAGAGACCCAAAGGAAGTGAGGGTACAAGTCAAATGGATATCTAGGAGAAGAGCCTTCTAGGCAGTGGGGGCAGCCAGTGCAGAGGTCCTGAGGAGGAAGTGTGCTCAGCATGTTTGGGATCAGCAAGAAAGCCGGTGCAGCTGGACTGGAGTGAACCAGGAGAAGAAAAGCAGGAGGAAAGGTCGGAGAAGGAGCAGAGAGTCAGTATGCATAGGACCTTGCAGGCCACGCTATGGAACTTGCATTTGTCCTTAGTGAGAGTTCCACACACTCTCTAGCAATCTCCTGGTAGGAATCTGCCTCCCCACTCCTCTCCCTGTTCCCCACAAACCAGGAGCCCCCAAGGGCAGGTGTAAGGGCCCTGGTCCCCCCAGATGTTGAGGTTACCTTGAGCAGGTACTTGACCTCCCCCTCCCCCTTAGATTCCCCCTTCTCAAGACGTAGCTCAGCATGGGGGCTCAAAACTCATCCTCTCGTTCACCACCCGTGTCCCCACGTCATCAGTGACTGTTAGGTAGGACAGAACTTAAGAGCACAGTTACCCACCTTGGCCCAAACACCTCAGGAGGATGGAGGGGTGGGCACCCTTCTGCAGCCTGGGGAGCTGTGGAGGATCCCCCACCCCATTTCCCTGGGGAGCAGGCCCAGTGGCAAGTGTGCAGTCCCGTTGGCAAGGTGCTGCGTATGAGGTGGCAAGGAAAGTCACGGGCCATGCGGGCATGAGATGAATGTGGCCCAGCCAGGAAGCAGCTGGAGCAGGAGAGGCTGGGGACCACGGTGCTGTGCCAAAGTGGGTCAGCTCCATCACCCGCAGCTCTGCAAGAATTGTGCGGATTTTTCTTATTTTTTTTCTCGCCTTCCTTTCCTCCCTTTTTCCTTTGCGTTCTCCTCCTCTGGACAGATTTACAAAGCTCCCTGGCCAATTAGGCCAAATTGCAGGATGAGAGTCATGAATCACAGTCAACTCACTCCCCCCTCCCCAGCTCCACAGCCCCCCAGGAAGACAATAAATAACGTAATCACAGAATTACAAAATAATCAGTGGTCATAAATAATGCAGAATCCCCAGTTACGTAAGTAAGCGGCTGCTGCCCCGGGGAGCTGGGAGGGAGGGAGGGAGGGACGCAGCAGCTTGTCAAGTGAGGTGAAGGGGCCAGAGGTGAGGGGGGAGGAGGGAGATACAAGTTCTGGAGCTCCTGGGTCCTCAGTCCTGGCTCTGGGGTCTTAGGTAACACAGACATGCTTTCCTTGGAGTGGGGACTCAGCCAGGGCTGGAGGGAGGGCTGGGGGAGCCATTCTTGGGGTGTCCAGGACTATAGAACTCTTTCTCAGAAAAGAAGCCTCCAGAAGTTTTTGTTAAGCTCTATGTCTCAACTCATTCAGTGGCTGTATTTGTGAAGAGTGTGCCAATCCCTCTGCCAAACTGGGCATGCAATGGTGGGCATTCAGACCTAGTCCCACCCTTGTCTGGTACGGAGGCAGACCTCCATCACATTATTACATATACACACCTACAATTGTAGCAGGGCTGATAAATATTGGAAAATATTTTAAGGAGAGGGGCAGGGTGCTTTGAGAGCCTTTCATAGGGAAGCTGTGCTCAGCTGGGGAGGAGGGAAGACTTCCTTATGGAAGTGAGACGCCGTGAGTGGGAAAGGCGGGAGGCGTCCAGGGGAGCCCAGAGGGAGAAGTGAGCTCGGTGGAGTGTGCAGGGCTGGTGAGGAGACAACCCTGGCAGCGTGGCGGCTGCTTGCTGGAAAGCAAAGGGCCCATGGCCAGGTTTGGTGGGGTTGTGTTTGAGAGGCTTGGGAATTTGGGGAGCAGAAAAGTGCTGGAAGCAGAGGAGTGACCTGATCCTGTTGGCTGATGAGGAAGTTTCCTGGATGCAGGGTGCGTCAGGAGCTGGAAGGAAGCTGCTGTCAGTGGGAAGACCAGATGGGTGCAGTTCAGGCCAGGGGAGTGAGGCTGTGACTAGGACAGAGGGTGGGGACACCCTTGGGATAGGGCCTGGGACCTCAAGCAGGTTCTGTCACAGCCCTCAGCCGTGCTCTTCCTATCTCATGTTCCCGCTCCCCCTCTAGAGCACGTGATTCTTGTTTTTAAGGTGCCAGGCCCAGGAGTCAGGACGCCTACCTTCTGTTCTCAGCTCAGCTCCTTCTAGTCTCTGGGCCTCAGTTTCCCCATCAGCAAGCACAATGAGAAGGGTGGACTCAACAGTGGCTCCAGTCCCTTGTGGCTTTGAGGTTCTATGATTCTGTGATTTTTATGATTTCATTTCTCTCTCCATTCTCTCTCTCCTCCTCTCTTTCTTTCTGTGTATATAATTATTTCCCTGCTCTCCAAGACAATCCCAAATTACATGCAGGCAAAATGATTATTAAATCTCAGAGAAAAATCGCAGATTTCAAGACATCCAAAGCAGAAAGGTGGGTAGCATAGGGCCTGCCCCACCCCTGCCCTCCGAACTGGCCCCATGAAAGAGGCACCAGGGATGGGCAGTGGGGTTTGTGGCCTGACCCAGGCCCTGCATACCATCCGGGAGCCCTTGGCACATCACTCCCTTTTCTGATCCTCACTTATGTTATTCTCTAGTGCGTGTGACCTGTCCCACCTAATGGACTGGGCCAGATTGGCCTATGAGCCCGACCATTTGGCTTCTAGAACCTCTTCTGCTTCTGTTCTATCTGGACTCAGCCCTATGTTAGGGAGCATAGGTACCACCCATGTGCTGGGGTTTGAAAGGCCCAATGTCTCATTATTCTGTCACAGGCACTGGAAATATCCCCATCAGAGTGTCATTCCTTTGGTGAAGAACTGACTCCCATCAGTTCTTGGGCCTGGTGCCAGGGGCCTGGTCACCTGTTAGCACCCATTGGTGCACAGTGGGTATTGGCATTCTGCCTTGTTCTACATGCTTTCCATGCGTCAAGTCATTAAATCCTCACAACAGGCCTATCAAGTAAGTACTACCAGAATTCTCCTTTGAAGAACTTAAGCACAGAGAAGTTGAGTAACTTGGCTAAGGTCACACAGCCCATAAGTGGTAAGGCTAGGGTTGGACTCCAGGTCTGGCTCCAGAGCCCAGGTTCTTAAGTGGTTGGCTGTGCTAACTCTGCAGTTTAAATCACATTCATATCTGTTGACTCCCTATCACCTGGTGAGTAGAGGACTGTCATTTTATAGTGGAGGAAACCAAGATGTGGAGAGGGGAAGTCACCTGCCTCAAGGCCCCTAGCCAAGACAGGACAGACTTGGGACTTGAACCCAGACCTCCCTCTCTCCCTCCGCTCCACACTCCCAGGGTGGAACCAGAGAGGGGCATTCTACAGGAGGAGGGGAAGGGCCTGAATGTGAAGGCCGCTTGAGCAGGTGGCCGGCAAGGACTTCTTGGCTGGGGGGAGTGTGTCCAGCCTGCATGCTTTCGGGCTCCTGCCCTCTGCACCCTGGATCGTTTTCACAGGGCATTAGGAGCCCAGCTTCTGGGCCTGCCCCAGCGTCAGCCAACCCTGAGATCACAGCCAAGTCGTTTCACTCCAGATTCCTACTAGCATTGCCCCCCTTACGCACCAGCAGGCTCTCAGCAGCTGACGTGATGGGGGAGTCTAATTTGAGGATGTGGCTGCCCCAGAGGCACAGGGCCTCTCCTGAGGCAGGCAATGCCCTGGAGTGCTATTTCTTCACCAGCTTAAATCCCCAGGGTCCTAGGCCAGAGGTTCTTAGAGCATGCCCCTGGACCAGCAGCAGCAGCAGCAGCGGCACCTGGAAGCTTCCTAGATCTGCACCTTCTCGAGCCCCACCCCGGACCCCCTGAATCAGAGACGCTGGGGAGCGGGCTGACGCACACTCCAGTTTGAGAACCTCCACTCTAGGCCAGGGCTCCCACCCGCCCTCAGGTGGGGCCTGGGTTGAGGATGGGCTTCTGGGGGAGGCGAGCTTCTCTGAGATAGGGGGAGTCCTTCTCGGGGGTGGCATAAGATGGGGTGGCGAGATTGGAGGGTGGAGCCTTATCCCCACTGCCTGCCCAAACCCAGAAATCACAGCAGCACCTTGAGCCGTGTGCAGTCCTGCACGGGAGTGGCGGAGGCAGGCATCTCAGCTCCCATGACTGGTGCCTCAGGCCGATCACCCATAAACCCCGGAGATGATGACCTCACGGGTGAAACGCCTGATACACAGTAGGTGCTCACAGATGGCAGATGACGTCACTTGTGTCACCAGTGCCCCACGGAGCCCATTCACTCTCATTCTTCCTCATGAAGTTCTGGTGAGGTTGGCAGGGCTGGGATTATCACACCCACTTCGTGGCAAATAAAGTTGAGGTCCAGAGAGGTTATGTGACTTACCCAAAGACACACAGAGCAAAGTCTAAGCTGAATCTGGAACCCAGGTGTCTTGACTCCCCCAGCTCTTCTGTAGGCCTCGGCCAGCTGTTCCCTTCACCTCTGGCCTGGGGCTGTGGAGAGTGGGCATCTCTAGGCATTGACACCCCAAAATAACTTGTCGCTCCTATAAATACAGAGTCCTAGAATCTCAGAGGTGGAAGAAACCTTGGGGATAAACGAATTCACCCAACTCCCCATTTACAGATTGAGAAACTTAGAGACTTAGAGAAGAAAAATGACCGACCAGGTCACCTGCATTGGGCGTCCTGACTCCTAACCAAGTAGACGTCCCACTGACCCAAACTCCTCCTGACCCATCGTCTTTGCCCTTGCTTTCCTCCTTCACTGTGGGGCACTCACCACCCCCTCACCCCCCGAACATCTAGCACATCCCTGGACAGCAGTATGGCCATCCCTCAGTGTCCGAGGGGTATTGGTTCAGGACCCCTGCAGATACCAAAATCTGAGGATATTCAAGGCCCTTATATAAAATGGCATGGTATTTGCACATAACCTGCGCACATCCACATACTTTAAATCATCTCCAGATTACTTATAATACCTAATACAATGTAAATGCTGTGTAAATAGTTGTTATACTATATTATTTAGGGAATAATGACAAGAAAAAAAAGTCTGTACTTGTTCCATACAGACAACCATCGTAGGCCTTTCGATCCACGGTTGCTTGAACCCGAGGGTTCCCCACGTTCGGAGGGCCAACTGTAGTCCTCAGTAAGGGTTTGTTGAATTAGGGACTTCATTAGTTAATTAATTAATTGGCCGCTCTGACCCCAGGTAGAGAACACTGGAGAGGCACTGGGAGCGGCTCCTTGGCTTGATGGCTCACTGGAGGCGTGTCTCCGCGCTGGTCTCTTGGTTCCTCCACTTGGTTTTGTTTCTGTTTTGCTGTTTTTGTTTTTGGCTCTATCTTCTCTCTCTTGTCTTGTTCTATCCTCTCCCCACGTCTCTGACTGGGTCTCCCTTTTCCCCTCACTGTCTTCATCTCTGATTTACATGCTGATAGTGGCCTGGGCACCTCGGGGTATCCTGAGGCAGGGCTGGAGCGAGGCGGGCTGGTACCGTGACCTCCACAGCTGAGCTGCCCCCTGAGTGCATTTAGCAAGCAGCTCTGGGCCCAGGAAGGATGGTTTCCTTATTGCTTACCAAATCATGCTTGTGTTACTCCTTCTCCAAGAACAAGCCAAGAGTGATCTCCGCTCATCAGGGGACAGGGAAGGGAAGGAGGGAGGAGGCTGTGGGGTAAGTGGGGTGGGAAGGTGGAAGGGGAGGGTAACCTGGTGTTCTTGTCCTGAAGGGCTGGTGGAGACCCATGGGGGACAGTCGCTGACCAGCTGCAGGGCTGGTCCGGGATGCTTTAGGAAGCCTGGGCAGAGTCTTCTCGTGGTAACTCCGTATCTTTTTCTCTCGGAGGGTAGGTGGGCTGCTCATCTCCCCACTGAGTGGCCTCACTGGAGTCTCTCAGCCCTCTTTAAATGGCCCCCTCTCAATCAAAGGAAGATCAAGCTCTGAGCACCAGGGCTGCCCCCCAGAACCAGGGCTGCCTTTGGAGAAGAGGGGTGTGTGAATGGATGAGGTGCAGGGCTGAAGGCAGTCTCCCCTCCCTTGGAGCGACTGAGGAATAAAAAATAGGGGAGTAGCTGGAACAAGCTCTGTTCACCCTGGTTCAGTTTGGCCCTCAACGGCACAAGCAAACCTGTGCCCTCCTGTCCAGTCGCCGTCCTGCAGGGTCAGCAGCTGGGGATCTAGCAGTGGAGCTGGGGCACACTCACACCCAGCTTATGCTGGGCCCCTGCCTGGCCCCCCACTCTCTCCCCTTCCCCGGCCAGGTGGTGAGCCAGATCGATAAGCTGACCTCAGACTTCGACTTTGAACTGGAGCCGGACGACTGGACCACAGCCACTGTGAGCAGCACCTCCAGCAGCGACAAGGCGGGCGTGGGCGGCCCCTTTGACCTGGGCCACCTGGACTTCATGACAGCCGACATCCTCTCGGACAGCTGGGAGTTCTGCTCCTTCCTGGACGTGTCTACCCCCTCGGACTCCGTGGACGGCCCCGAGTCGGCCCGGCCAGGGGCTGGGCCCGACTACCGGCTCATGAACGGCGGCCTGCCCATCCCCAATGGGCCGCGGGTGGAGACCCCGGACTCCTCCAGTGAGGAGGCCTTCAGCGCTGGCCCTGCAAAAGGCCAGCTGCCCCAGCGGACCCCGGGCACGCGGGAGAGGGTGCGGTTCAGCGACAAAGTGCTCTACCACGCTCTGTGCTGTGACGATGAGGGGGATGGCGAGGAGGAGGCAGCAGAGGAGGAGGCCGACCTGTCCCCGGAGCCTCCTCGTACAGAGGCCCCCGCGGGCCCCCCCAAGCCCGCCCCGGCCCCCTACAAGCCGAGGCGCTCTCCGCTGACCAGCCACCGCTCAGGCCCCACCGTTGCCCCCGAGCAGACCCGAAGGGTCACGAGGAACAGCAGCACCCAGACGGTGTCAGACAAGAGCACGCAGACGGCGCTGCCCTACACAGCCACCAGGCGGAAGGCCAGGGGGAAAAACTAGGGCGTGGTCCAGGGGGCGGGGGGCACGCAGGGCTATAAATACATATATCTATATTTAACAAACACAGTCATAATAAAATTTAAAAATGCGAACGATCTGGCCCCGCAGGCCCCAAAGCTTTCACAGAGCTCATCTCGGGCACAGAGTGGGCACCCCCAGGTCCCAGGAGGTGCAGCCAGAACAGCCCTCCCCTCCTTCCCCGCGCAGGGCTCCTGGAGGGGGCGTCCAGAAGTGCGTGCATTAGGTGGGGAGATTCATCGGCAGGAGGCAGGCTGGGGAGGAACAGCGTCCAAGGCCAGGGCTGACAGTTGGTGCGACCTGGAGACTGTAGGACTGAGGGCCAGGGGTGGCATGGCCGCAGCTGGGCCCAGTTTCACTGCACCCCCAGGCCTTCTGCTCCAAGCAGACTTTGCCTCTCCTTCCCAAGGGCAAACTTACCTGGATGCACACAACCCTTCCCCGCCCCCTCCATCTCAGGGTTGGCCAGGACACAGAAGGCACAAGCTGCCCCCGTGGCTGGGCCTCCATGCTGGGGAGCTGGGCTTCCACAGACCCTGGAGAACCAGGCTAGCGTGGGCAGGGCAGGGGTTTGTTTGGAGAGCCTGGACCACTCCCAATCCTTTCAGCTCCCGTGCTCAGCCTTGTCCTCTAGGAATCACTCAGGGCCCGGCCGCAGCCAGCCCCTGGCTTGGCCCAGAGCAGATCTGATGTCCACATGAGAAATCAGATGGAAGCCCTGGGGGCTATGAACCAGGGCCATAGACAGGCTCTCAGACCCCCTCACCAGGCAGGCAGCCCCAGAGACGAGCCCAGTGGCCCTGCTCTGCCCCTGCTTCTCCACGCCAGAACCTAAGCTCGCCTTAGCGGGTGTTGAATGACACGACAGAGACAAGATGGGGGCCTAGAGGCACCAGGGCGTCATCTGGGTCAAGGCCTACACAGGGACAGCATCTGAACATCCTTGGGATTAATAACCGCAATCATTGCTCACATTTATTGAGCAGGTCTCTATGCCACTACTATGCCAAGTATGTTTTATAGCATTATCGTATTTAATCTTCACAATAACCTGACAAGATAGGAACTATTGCTATCCCCATTTTTCAAATGAGAAGACTGAGGTTCAGAGAGTAACTGACCCAAAGTCACAGAGCCTGTGCCACCCTGCCCCCCATGTGTGTGATTTCTGGGCTATACCCGGCTCTGCTATCTAGCAGCTGTGTGACTTTGGGCAAGTCCATTTGCCTCTCTGAGCCTACCTACCTCATCTATAAAATGGGTCTGGTAGTCTTCACCTACCTCACCAGCTGCTGTAGGGCTTTGATGAGATGGGGAATGTGAAGGCCCTCGGTAAGCACCAAGGCCCTGGACATGCGTTATGGCCATATGACCCCAACCCAGATTCCAGTGTTTTCCGGGTAGGGAAGGAAGCCAAGCCCACTGACCAGGAGCTGTCCCTGGGTCACTCTTTCGCTTTGTCCTCCATGGCAGCTCGAGATTGGGAGATGGCTGCGGCTTGATTCACTGCCCCTCGCTTAGAGCAGCGAGGTGGCAGTGGGGGCGCAGCACAGATGCCCCTCTCAGGGGCCTCCCTGCTGCACTTCCAATGAAGCCCAGTTCCAGCCCACCAACACCTGTTGGCAGGCATCTCTGCTCCTCACATGGGCCTGGGAGGGCCTGACCAGCAGCCTGGCAGCACCCACTGCCTCTGCTGCGGGGCCAGAGGAGGTGCTGTTCAGCCGCAGCAGTGGGGAGACAGACTGTGCAGGCCGGTGTGGAGCGGATGCCGGGATGCTATCAGGACGGGCTAGGCTGCGCCTAGGATGTGTGCTCTGCAGTGTGGGGAGCTCCCCTTGGGCCTGGGCTGAGGTCAGAGCCCTAGGGAGCGAGCCAGGGTGCAGGCTCCAGGTGGAAATCCAGTGGCGGCTGAGCCATGGTTAGCGATTCCCGGCCCAGGCCCCAGGGCACTCTCCGGCAGTGGGTGCTGATCAGCTGTAGGACCCTGGCTCAGAGGATGAGTGCCAGGGGCTCCCCTGGGAGGGGGCCAGGTGAGGTTGGCCCTATCTGACAGTGAGGAGGGGGCGGGGCGGGGCAGTCCCTGCTCGGGTATGGACATACCCAGCTCTGAGGAATGACATCCGGTTCTACCTCCAAGACTTGCTTTTCCTGTCCAATGGCAGGATTGTTTTCAGACTTAGAGTCTCTCCTCTTTACAACAGTCAGGGGAAAAACTGTAGCAGAGTCCCAGAGCCAGGGATGCCCGAAGGAGCCGTGGGTGAGGCGTGGGCCTCTCCTGGGAGCCCCACCACCCACTCTGGCTCTGAGTGTTTGCGCGTGGTCGCGGCTAGTGTCCTTTAGTTGTTCCCTGGTCTACCACCCGGCTGCCTGCCTCCAATGGGTCAGAGGCACATGGGTGTCATGGAAGAGGGAGAAGAGGGTGTAGGTTCCAGAAGGCCCAAAAAGTACTTGGCTCGCCTCATAATTACGCCACACTCAGTCTGGGCCTCACTGACAGTGGGGTGGGATCTCCAAGGCTTTTTTATGACTTGAAACACGGAACGTGGCCACCTGGGGAAAAACTGTGACTGTCAGAGCTGTTGAGCCACGGAATGCGCTGCTTCTGAGTAGTGAGCTCCGTGTCCCTGAGGCCGTAGCCGTCCCAGGGACCATCCTGCACACCTGCCTGCTCCTCCAGGTACCGCCCCTCCCTGCTCTTCCGCACCTCTAAGCTTTTGCCCTTTTCTGGGTTTCCTCACCCAAAATGTCCCATGAGACCGCCCTGTTTCTAGGAAGTCTTATTTCACTGACCACCTACTGTGTCCTCAGGCTCGTGCCGAATGGTGCCGTGGAGGAGGCCGAGGGTGCCAGGTGCTCGTGACAGAGAGGAGTCGTGGTTGTGCTAAAGAGCTCACACTCATCGAGAGCACACGATGTACCGACCATTGTTCTAAGCGTGTGATTTATCTCATTTATTCCTCACAGCAAATATGAGATAAGTGCTTTTATTTATACCTATTTTCAGGATGAGGAAACTGAGGCTCTGAGAAGTTAAATAATTTGCCCAAGGGCACAGGATGGGTTATGGCACAAGGATTCAATCCCAAACTCCGTGACTTAGCGTTCAAACATCTGCTGCAGTAAAAATCCGTGGTGGGGTCAGTGCTCTGGTCTCTGGAGGTGAGGGAAGGCGGAGGGGGAGGGGGGGCGGGTCTGAAAGCCAGAGGGGCCTGCACAGGCGGAGGTGCGAGGAACAGGAAACCTGTGAAGGCAGTTCAGTATTTGGAGAGGTTGGCTACTGTTAACATGAATGTCATGGCCCTTGACACAGAGTCTGGCACCAATGGATTATGGGTTCAATAAACGTTTGTTGATTGAATGAATGAGCCCCATTTGCAGAGGGGCCCTCCATTGTGCATTCATTCAATCAGATTTTATTGCAGACCTCCTATGTGCCAGGTCTCATGTTGCTTGCACACACACATACACACAACTCCCCTGTGAGGGTCTGGTCTGGTGTGGCTAGGGGCTGGACAAAGCCAAAACAGAGGGGTGTGGGGTTTCAGTGCTAGGAAGCCAGTCATAGCATTAGGTCCAGCCTGTGACCCCTGGGAAAGGAGCCAGGAACAAGAGGCAGGAGACCAGCTTAGTGAGAAGAGCCATCCTTCTGGGGACAAGGTTCCTCAGCCTGACACCACTTTAATGGGGCAGGCACATTGCAGTGTTCCCAGGGTCTGAGAATGAGGAGACATCACTGTCTCCATTTTATAGACAATGGACAGATGATCCGTCTACAAAAGTGGTCTGATGGGACCAGAGGGCAGAAAGGGGGGCAAACTATTCAGAGACCCCAGCACCATCCGCCACCCTTAGAGACAAAGTGAGGCCATGTCAAAGGAAGGGAAAAAGGGAGGAAGGGAAACTGGGAATTCAAGGCGGGCCCAGCCTTCCACCTCTGCCCCTCCTGAGTTCCCTTTCTCTGTCCCAATTCCCCTCCCCACACCCATCTCCCATTCTGCAGCTGAGACTGGTGTGTGAAAACTGACAATTATTGACCACCCTGTATACTCCAGGCACTGTGCACTAAATGGCAGGTTTAGTTGTGCCCAGTACGTAAGAGATTGCTCAACAATTATTTATTGAATAAATGGATGAAACACAATCTTCATCTGATAGGTGAAGGAGCTGATGAGCAAACATGGAATTTGTTCAAAGGGGCATAGTAAGAACTTGGTGGAGCTGGGGGTTTGACATTGCTGTCATTTACACTGTGTAAGAGCTACTGTTTATGGACTTCCTATGATTTGATGCATTAGGCACTTTACATAAACTGTCTCATCTACTTCACAACAAACCTCCAAGTCATAGAGAAGACTCAGCCCCAGAGAGGTGTAGCATCCTGCCCCAAATCACCAGCTCCTAAGTGCAGGAACAGGATCTGAATCTAGACTTCACCATGCTTCCTGCACTCCTAGCTTGAGGGGACCTGGAGCCCCTGCAAGTGGAGGCACTGCCAGAACATGGAGTTTGCTCCGTAGAACTGACCCGTACTCACCAGGCCTCAGGCTCTGCTTTCTTCAGCTCAGCCCTCTGGCCCCTGGGAGCATTAGGCCAGACTCCTGGAACCCACCCCGGGGTCCCTGTGGGTCTGGGCACTGACCAGCCAAAAACAGCTCCAGGTCCAAAGTGTCCTTTCTCCCTTCTCGTATCTCCGGCAGAACCTGGAAGACCAGGCTGCCCTCAGCCCGTTGATGCCCAGCCCCTTCCGTTCTGTGCTTAATCTGTGTTAGTTAGGGACTGGAGTATCTAGGAAAGGCTTCTGGGAGGAGGAGGGATTTGAAATGGTATTTGTTTGCAATGAAGTAGAACTTTGACACCCGGACGTGGAAATGAAGGGCGTTTGGGGCGAGTGGAACTTTACAAAGATGGCTGGGGTGGCCATAGAGTGGACAGTAGAGAAAGGCCTTGCGGAAACAGAGGGTGCACGTTAGTGCAAGATAGGAAAGATGAGAGCGACTGCAACCGGGGCCAAGAGAGTCCGCTAGCTCCCTCAGAGCCACTGCAGCCTCTTGACTGAGGGAGAAGGAATTGGGTTTCCTGTCTAGTCTAAGACAGGAAAATCTAGGGGAACAGATTTAAGACAGCTCAGCAGTGACTATCGTGATACGGACCCACTGTAATGAATAGATAAGAATAGCACATTGGTAAGTAAAAGAGATATGCTAAAGAGCCCTTGAATGTCGATGTGTGTTACAAGTAGTTAAACATCCCTCCTGCAGGACGCATCCTCACCAAACCTTTCTCCTCCCTCCCCAACAGGGGTTGGGATGCTGGGGGCGCATCATCCAATTCCAGGTGAGCTAGCTGAGATCCTGATGAGACCTGACTCTGCCTACCTGTCTGCCCTGAACCCCGAATACAGAGGGGAGCCCAGCAGCCGTCACCACCCACCTCTCCACTTTACCTGTCCCCAGCCGTGCCTGTCAAGGAGACCGAGGTGGGTGACCTCAGGCTGATGCTGTCCACACCCAGGCACTGTGCCTGATTAGACCTGACTCCCTGCCAGGAACAGTCAAGCTCACGCACCTGCCTGCGGCTCTCAGTTCCCTGAGCAGGCTGCTCCCTCTCCTCTCCCTGCTGGGACACGCAGAGGGCAAGAGCTTCCTGCTGGGGCGACGATAGGTAGGGTGGACCCAGCAGGGCTCCTCTCTGCTGCCATCTTAGAAGCACCACAGAAACCCGGTCTCCAGGCACCAGCTCACCCGCCCTTCACTCTACCCCACCCGTCCTCCAGCCCCAGGAACACAGGACAAGGTGGGGTCGCTACCAGGCACAGCCTGTGGAGGAGCTGTGGAGAGAGGCTGAGGCCCTGATTTTTGTGGGGTCTCCTTGTGGCCAGTGGTAGAGCCTTCCCAGGAGACCTCCGTGAGGAAGGAGAATTTTCCCTGAGCCGAGCAGTAGACTAAGTGTGGGAGGCTTCCCAAAGGAGGTAGGGATGGCTGAGTCCACCTTGGTGAGGTGGGGAAGGAAAGGTCATTGGTGACCCAGGAGTGTGGGGGGAAGGGCAGGTCAGGGAAGCCCCGGGGGCCCTGAGAACTTCTCTAGCCCATTCCCACCCCCTTAAGTCAAGCTGACCCTACTCGCCCTCCAATTCCCCGGGCATTTCTCTTCCTCTCATCCAGAGGTTGCAAATTGGTGGCCTGCACACCTGTTTTGCCTCCCACATATAATTTTATTTGGTTTTAAAGAGGACTGTACATAAAATTACAGACTTCAAGTCTTGGGAAAAATCACCTCAAATTTGCTCTAAAAAATATAAGTCTTTAAAAAACGATAGATCTGATAATACGGGGCTGGTATTCCACATGGAAACAGTTAGCGCGAGCTGAGCAGCAGGGCCGCTCCAGGTGGTGTGGGCACTCACCAGGCCCCCAGACTCCACTCCTCCCACCCTACCCGGTGGCCTGCCTTCATTTACAGTGGCTTCCCCGGGCCTACGAGTCTGAGTCCTCTGCTGATCCGACCTACCGCCAGTTCTTCTGTCATCCTGCCATTCCTTTTCTTCTGCCCCTGCCTGTCTTAAACACACCTTCCATCAAGCCTCATTATTACCCTGAGGTTTCTTTTTCCCACACAGCTGTCTCCTCTAGCAGATGGCAAGCCCCTTGAGGGCAGGAATAATTAATGTGCTCCCAGGAACTGGCACAGCTTGGCACACAGGAGATCCTCAGGGAATGTATGTTGAATGAATATGCTGCTCGCCCCTGCCCAGGCCCTCAATAGCCCTCCTTTGCCCTCAGGACTTGAACCCCCTCCAGATCCAGAGTGGGGCCCATGACTCCCAAAGTCTTCCCAGAGGGAGGGCATGTCCTTCTGGGTCTGGGGAGCGAAGGGACAAGAAGTGCACTTTGCTGGACTCTTTGAGGTGGCCGACCACTGGAAGTACCGAGGCACTTACCCAGTTTTGCTTTGATTTGTTTCCTAATTCAGAGGCAGGGTTGCAGGGCTGAGGGATGATTTCACACTTTTTAATAAAGGAATCTTCAAACCAAATAGCCCTTGTAGCTGTTCCCTCAACCCTGGAGCAGCAGCCACAGAGATAACTCATTCACTAAGTAATTGCCGCCGTCCAAGTGTTGGATGGGACGTTGTGAGATGTCAGAGAAGTGACTTTTTGCTTAATCAAATGCCTTTGCCCCATAAGGTTTGTTCGTTCTGAAGGCTCAGTGAAGCTTCAGACAAGCAAAGTCTGGTTAAATATATCAGCATCCTCATCCCCTGCTCCCCGACTCTGGTGGCCTTGGGAGGCTGCCTCAAAGCCCCTCCAGACACTCGCCTGGCAAGCCAAGGATCTTAGCACCCTCTGCCCCTGCCCCAGCCCTATGAGAACTTCCTTCACTGGGGGGTGTTGAGGGCACTGCCAGGGACCACTGCATATCTCCAGGGACACCATTCACATTATATCCCATGTGAATGGCCCCCTCAGCACAGCTCACAATAGTACACCACAGGCATGATGCCCCTGGAATCGTGCAACACAGTATTCAGGCACCTGCACTGGACCACAAGGATGTATGGCCCAGACTCTGAGCTGAGACCGCCAGGGCTGTCTAGACCCCAGATTCAGAGGCTCTTCATACCTCATGCTTCTGAGCTCCAGCTGCCCCCGGGGCACCCTCACCTCACCCACTGTTGTCCAGAGAGTTTCCAAAACGGAATAGAGCAGAGAGCAAGGGGTGGCTAGTGACAAGTCCCTGCCCAGGCCCCAGACTGGTCCCAAAAGGACCATAATTCCTACCCCAATGCGCTCCAACCCCTGGTAGAGACCCCACCCCAAAACTTTAGGTGGCAGAGAACAGGATCTGTGGCACCCCAGGACCAGCAGAGTACCATCCAGGTCTTGAGGCTCAAGACTGCTGACACCCATGGCCGGATTCCGAAGCTGCCCACACCTTGGACCAAACTGTGGGCAAGGCCGGCCTGGAGGAGGCTGTCCTACAAGTGACGCAGGGTGAGGTCACAGGCTTTGGAGCCAGAGAGACCTGGGTCTGAACTGAGGCTCCATCTCCTACTAGTGTTGTGACTTTGCACAAGTTACTTAATTTCTTGGAGCTTCTCGTTCTCAAGGATGATAAGACTCCCCAACAGCTCTGCTGTGACGACTCGATGACAAAATACATGTAAAGCCCCTGTGCAGGGCCTGGCAGAATGTGCACCATCGATGTATGCTTCCTCCTTCTCGAGGGCCCTCTGACTGTCTGTCACACTGGCCCTAGGAAATGTCCTAAGCTCAGCAGTAAGGTCCCAGCAGAACATTCCTGCGGCAGTTCCCAGCATCCAGAGAGGGACAGTACCTGCCCCTTATGTCATCACAGAGGCAGTGCAGGAAGGTGGGGCCGGAGGAGAGCATCCCCAGACAGCCAGGAGACCTTCGGCTTTGCTGGAAGTGGGCCCACCAGAGCCAGCGGTGTCTTGGGGATTTTAACAAGCTGTCCGTTAGGAAAGTTTTATCTCCCCTACCCAGTAGAGACCACACCTCATAGCAGGCAGAAACCTCCCTTGTCCCCTGGAGACTTTAGGGACAAGACAGAGCCCTGCTAGATTGGAATCAAAACAGGAAATCTGCATTGTTGGTTGGGTGGAGGAGGCATGGCCCACGTGGTCCCTGGAGCCAGAAGGGAAAGGTGGGAGAGGAGCGTCCAGCACAAGGCGGAGATTTACCTCATCTCTGACTACCTTGGGCCACCCCTGTGTTGTGAGTACCTTGTACCCACCTGACAAAACAAATGGATTGTTTTCCCAGGGTCCGGCTCTGCCTGCTGCCCCACTGACTTGTAGCCTCCTGCTGCGTCCATCCAGCATTGTCTGTGCCCTGCCAGTTGAGGCCAGTGAGGGATGGTTCGCCTTGCCCTGCTTACCAGGTCTCCTCAGCTCTCTTTGCACTCAGTAGGACCTGCCTGCATGTGGCTGCATGTGGAGGGCCTAGGGTCTGATCTTGCTCCTGGAGGCTCAGCAGAGCACACCTAGCTCCGGGTTATCACTATGTGCTCCCCTGCCCTCTTCTGGTTATGAGGAGCTCCAGGTTTATAGAGATCCCCCTTCATTATGGAAAAGGGAGCTTCATGTTCTAGGAACTCAGCTTCCTCTCTGCCCCCACCTCCTCCTCCTCCTCTTCCTCCTTAATTCATCAGGGACAAAACAAGCCTTGTCCAGTCATCCTTCACAAGGAAGCTGACACTTCTCTGCCTTTTTAATATGTGAACTCTGGGCTGCAGTCATAGCAATAGAGAACAGCTGTATTGAGTGAATCACTCTTTCACCTGATTGCCCCAGTGATCAGTGGATTCCTAGGATGTTTGGATGAGATAAGTGCTCAGCTGCCCAACAGGCTTAGTCTACTTTCAGAGCTAGGGCTCAGGGGGGAACTAAGGATAAGACTCAGTCTAGGGCAAAGTCATGGCTCAGTCTATGACCAGGGTCAGGACTCAGTGTGTGAGCAGGGTCGGAGTTCAGTATGTGAGCAGGGTTGGAGTTCAGTGTATGAGCAGGCTCAGGTCTCAGTGTGAGAGCAGGATCAGGGCTCAGTGCATGAGCAGGGTCAGGACACAGTGTGAGAGCAGGATCAGGGCTCAGTGCATGAGCAGGGTCAAGTCTCAGTGTGTGAGCAGGGTCAGGGCTCAGTGTGACTTTGGCCCTTCCAATGATTTTGTAAGCACCCACTACCCTGTATTCAACCTGCTTCTGCTTAAGATACAGTAGCTTCTGTTTTGTGCACCTATCTGTGACTAAAATACCAACTCTCATTCAAGACTCAGTTCAAGTGTCACCATCTTTGGGAAGCCTTCGACAATTCCTCCAGGGTCCTTCTTCCCTCCTCTGGACTCCACAGCTCCTCATAAATTAAATTTGTATAAATGTTCACCTCCCCTAGTGGATTGTGACCTCTTCATCCAACTACAGCACAGGCTCTAGCATAAAGGAAGACCACAAAAAGAGACGAGCCAGAGGCCCTAGGCTGAGAGCAACTTCCTGAGCATCAAGCCTTGAAAGCAGGCAGAGGCAAGCAGGCCCTGGGAAGGACAGGGATCAGCCAGGGTGGGGTTCAGCCAGGAAAGCCTGGGAAGCATCTTGTGACCTTATGAAACACTCAGGCTCAGAGGAAAAGCAAAAAGTGTTTTCAGATACAGAAGCAAGTCTGCAGGGAGCCACACGTGAAAGCAGCTCCCGGGCTGCTGCCTAGTCTGAGGCTTCATGGCCCTGAATCCAGTCATGCAGAAACAATGACATGTGACAAAAGGGACAGCCTTGATGCACAGGACAGTACAGAGGGTCAAATCTAAAAAAACAACCGATGAACGAAGGATGAGTCTCCCTTGGTTGGGGACGGAAGAGGCAACAGGTAAAAGGTCCTCAGTCCGTGGCAGGCCCTGACTCCACCCCACTGGGACAGGATAAGCTGTCCAGCCCCAGAACCCAGAAGGGCCGGCCCATGCCTGTGTATAAATGGAGCAAGGAAACGGTTCCTTACAAGCGCCGGATGCATGCAACAAATCAAATCAGAACAAATCAAAACAAATCAAAGAAAACTTTGTGTGCCACCTTAGATGATGTGGCTCTGACAAGGGGATGCAATAAGGGACACAGTGGTGCAGATGGCCACCTCCGTTGATTGGCAGGCCAGGACTGAGGAGCAGAATTGGAAAACCCAAAGATTCTGCCCTGCCTGTGGTTGTTGCAGGTTGTGACGTGGGGCAGACTCCCTGTCCTCTCTGGGCCTCCGTCTCCTCCGTTTGTATTGTAGGAACAGTAGACTCTGTGCTGAAGGACTTAGGGAAATAAGGAAAACAAGAAGCCGTGCAAAGTGAGGGCTTAGGGAGGGCAGGGAAGTGGGAGATGCAGATCCTGGGCCTTGGCAGGGAAGAGGCTCCAGCTGGGAGGGAGACCTGGAAGGCCAAGGTGTCACTAATGAGATCCCAACAGACAGGGCTGGGCATGGATGAGCTTAGGGAATCTGCCCTCCTCTGTCCCGGTGCTCAGCACACTTCAAATTAATAATTAAAATGCTTCCTGTCAGATTCCAGCCTGACACGTAATTAGAGCAGCTCCGGGCTTTAGGCAATGGTGATGAAAACAGTCCTTGTTAGAAAGAGACTTTCCTGGGCATAAGCTGGGTGAGGATGGAACCCTCCTCCTCCAATTTCTCCATCAGGGCCTCCCTTCCATCTGCATTCCAGATAGATATGGACAAGGGCTTTCCTTCTACCCTGGGGAGGGGTGGGGTGTGAGGAGGAGCATCCATTTTCCCAGCTGCACCAGGAAGAGGTCGGAGAAGGTGCCATCCCAGCTGACAAGAGAAGGCAGCACAGGGATATGTGCAAGAAGGAGGACAGGTGGGGCTCCTTGGAGTTTCAAAGGCCAGACGGGCAAATCTCGGGACCAGCAGGAGATCCGAAGTCCCACACAAGGTGGGACTATTGTACCCCTTCCTACCAGCAACTGTTCAGGCCCCTCCCCACCAACCCATGGCAACCCTTACGTCCTTCTAGAGCACAGCCCTTCCCAAATCTATCAACAAAGTGGGGCATGGACCCAGGAGTCCCAGCTCCCAGCTGCTGGGCTTCTCAGTCCCGGAGAGGCAGAGCTTGGAGGTGCTGTCCATGGTTCCAGAGAAACTTCCAGTTTTCAAGCTCCTCCTATGTCAGGAGTTCTCCCACAGCCTTGGCCAGTCTCCCTACTACCTTGACCCCTTCCTCCAGGGTCCACTCCCTAAACCCTGTCAAACTGTCACACCTCCTCACCCACCACCAGGCCTGGCCCCCCAAGAGAGGGAAGGGATCCTCATTAAGGGAGAGCTCTCCGTGCCCACCCTGGGGCTTCACCTGATGGGCCTGCCCTGAGGAGCTTGGGACTCAGAGCTTACGCCGAAGCTACCTATGAGAAAAAGAAAATCATTTTAAAGCAATGTTATGTTACTTCATTGAAGTTGCCTTCATAAATATTTTAAAGGTGTTTATTAGGAAAACTACAGGAGCAGAGAGGAGGCTGCTGAGGAGGCTGGGAGGAGAGATCCCCATAAGGCCTCAGCTGCCACCACTGCCCCCAGTGAAACATCTGCTCCCTCAGAAGGGCTGGCCCTGTGGGGGCTGCAAAGAGGAGAAGGCCACTTTGTTGGGCTGCCCCACCCCTTGCAGGAGGTGGCTGCTCAGATACCATGTTCCTGTCCTTGGATTGAACCCCATATAACAGAGTCCTACGGACTTGGCATTGAGCTATGGGCAGGGCCCGCCTCAGAGGTTTGCTCCCAGTTGCTGGGCAATTGCTCTCCTACTCTGAGCTCAGTGGTGCAGGGGAGAAGAGGCCAGAAGTTCTGTTCCTGGGCATTCTGTGTTTCCAGATCTGTGGATGCTGTCCTTTGCTCTCTTCTCCATACTCCCTCATCTACTCTTCCCTCCCCTCCCCCACACCCATCCAGGGCCACATCAGACCAGGAGCAGCAGAGCCAGAGCAGGTGCACAGGGCCAGACAACCATCCCCAGGAGCATCTCAGCCTTCCTCACCTGCTCCAACAGGCGGGGAGAGCCCCATCTGGGGCCTGGGGAGGGAGTATGAATGGTGTCTGCCTGCTGCCCCATCATCCCTCCGATGGGGGTGAGGCAGGGACAGAGACACCATGGCTGCCTCTGATGCAGCTCCTTTCCTTGGGAAAGAGCTTCTTTCTCTTCCCCAAGCTAAAGCCAACAAGCCAATTAAAGCCTGAGAAAGCAGAATCAATCTGCAGGCCGAGGGATTACACTGATCTGCAGTGCTGGTACCCAGGGGGCCATGGCTGCTTCCGCCTTGTACATAGGGCTCCTTCAACTGCCATCTTCAGCTGAGCAATGAGCAATCCTCCTGCCCATGCTTCCATCCTCCTCTGCACCCCCACACTCTGTCAGTCTGACAGTTCCCTCTCTATTGGTCTCAGGTCAAATCTCTCTCCTTTGTCCTGGGCTGCGCCGGATGCCATCTGCTCAGACCCATTCATTCACGTTGCGTAAGTGCAGATGAGGTGGCCCCATGGAGCCTCTGTCCTTTGGACGACCTCTCTCCATCTCATTCAACCAGGGAAGGCGGGTAGTGCTCTTCACCCCATTTTACAGATGCGGCCTGCAAGGACACAGTGCCAGCTCCCCAAGGGTTAGCAGGTAGCGTTCCCCACACAGAGCGTGGGAGTCAGCAAATGGAGCTTAGGAAATGTTCTCCGGTAAATAAAAAAAAAGAATGACTTACAATTACCATATCAATTGTTTCTGGGTAAACAGGGGCTTCTAAGAGATTTTTTAAATAGATTATTCCTTTAAATTGGTTAAGCACCCCTTGGCAGCCTAATTTACATTATTCATTCTCTGAGAAATCCTTTTTTTCACAAATAGCGCGACGTAAACTTCAACCTCAGTCCTTTCCACCCAGCGACTGCATTACTGTGGTTTGGGAACTTCCCTGCCTGCAACGTACTGCCCTGTGCCTTGGGCTGGGCGGGGAATCCAGACCTGCTCGGAGGAGGAGACGGACTCCCAGAGGACAGTGAAGGAGCCAGCGCTTTATCGTGGCTGTGAAACGCCCTGAGGTGCAGTCAGAGATCTGCGGGAATCACGGGAGGGGGCGTGTTAGATTTGCACAGGCAGAGGAGAGAGAGGGCAGATCCTGTGGGGGAAGAGCTTAAGCAAAGGCTCGTAAACGGGATTGAATGTGGCACGTGCAACTTCTGCCCCCTTCTCCCTGGTCACCCATCCTCCAGACAGAGCAGAACGCACTCCTCTCTCAGCACTGCAGAGCCCATCCCACAAATGCCCTCGGTCCAGAATCCCTGCCGCCAGCATTTTCTTGTCGCTCTGACCCAGATCCTCCCAGCTGCAGTGGACGGGCAGGCAAACACTCAGAAGGGCAGCATGGATAGAGACGCCAAGGAAATCAGTACCCTGGCCGTGTCACCAAGGCCCTCAGCGTAGTCACCCAAGGAGGCTGAGCTCCCTCTGCAACTGGCCAGCTTCAGGTTTCCAGAATGTTCACTGAAGTTGCCCTCAATGAACACATGGACTTCAAAGTAATTATAAAAGCTATAGGAACAAAGAGTAGTGTGTTCATTCATTAGCAGCAACTACACTAAATTATCTTAACAAGTAAGGCAAAATGTCAGTTCAGTGGCTGCCAGAGACGTTTATCAGTCCTTCCTCCCAACACCCCACAAGTGGGAGCCACATTCTGCAGGAAGTGTTTTGGAGAAGATGTTGAAACGTAAGAGACAGGAAGGGAGTAGAATAGGGTTCAGACCAGGACCCAGGGAGCCTGATGGCCTGTGAATGATGCCACTAGGTAGGTAGACTCCTGATAGGGAAGTTTTGAGACTGGGGAAGGACAAGAGGCCAGAGGCCCTGCAGGAGGGCAGTGGGGGCAGTGGGAGAGGAGAGATGCTGTGTACTTGTCACTCTGGATACCGCAGCTCCGCAGTATAGTAGAGGCCCCAGGATATCCTGGGTCGGAGGCCATTTTGAGGTTGGGGTGGGAGGGGCACGGGAAGCAGGATGATGAGAAAGTTGCTTCCGTGAGCCTGGCACACACGCATAGACTGACGGCTGCAGGGAGCAGGACAGATGGTCCTTCCTTCTGTGGGGAACACGATGCTGGAGGGAGGGAGGGAGGCAGCCAGAACCAGCCACGTGACTGCACATCTGGAGGCCTGGGGACGACAAGGAAGAGAGACGGGGAGAAAGGGAGGCAGTGGGAGGAGGAGGGGGGAGGGTCCCCCATTTCCTGTACTGAGCGGTCATGCGCAGCGCCCCATCCTTCCTCACTCCACCAGAGCCTGGGCACCTGGGTCTGACCAAGGGCAGGAACTCAGGGTTCCTGCTCTCCCCCGGGCCCACAATAGAGGGAACAGGACCCCCTCTTCTCAGCACTAAACATGATCCCTTCCCTCAGCCTTCCTGCATCTGTATTTTCTGTGCTTCCTTTAGTGAGAAAACAAACACCTCTTGGTCTGATTCATGGTCATTCAGACAGCTGACTTGTCTCAGGTGCCTGGTCTCAAAGGTTTCTGCTCAGGGTTCTCCCTCTGAATCCTATTTTGCATAACTTGTAAGCCAAGCCAGAACCCCGGGGGTATACACATGAAATATGTAGCAATGATCTCCACCAACCGCACCCGAACTTCTAGGGATGGAAGCCTGGCACCAGTATTATTAGAAATCTCTTAAGTGATTCTAATGTGCAGCCAGGGCTAAGAACCACCGGACGAATGGGATCAGGAGGAACATAGCGCTCAGGATCAAGGAGATGAGAGGCTGTTCTATTATGAGCTGAAACATGATCCACACCAGGGCCTCAATTTGAAAGTGACAAGGATGAAACGCGTCCAGAGGAGGGCAGTGGAGGTGGAGAAATCACATCGGCTGAGCGAGGTTGAGGGGAGGGAGCTATTTTGCTGCTCAGATGCTGGCGAAAGGCTGGGGGCAAAGGTCACAGACTCTGTCTGAGCGCTAGAATGTATCTGCCCACGAGATCCAGGGTTTCCTGGGTCTCACAAGCACCACCTCATTAGTGGTGATAGTGTCACCATAATTACCTGGAGTTGGTGGAGCCAAAGAGCGGGTTATGAACACCCTCAGACACAAGTGCAGGAGATTTAACTTGTCCTGAGGCACCTGCATCCGAGAGGCGCTGGTGAACCTCCACCATCCATTATGGTCAGGTGTTCGGGGGAGGATGCAGCGCTCAGCACAGCCCTCGAGCTCCCACCCCATCCAGCAGGAGGCAGACACACTCACCTCCAGGACTGGGCTCCGTGAAGCCAGCTCCTGGGGAACTGAGGCAGCGGGCCACAAGGCAGATGGTGAAGGGGAAGGTGGTGCAGAGAGGGTAGGGGGGTGGATGAGCACAGGCCCCATGCACTGCTGAGTCAGGCTCCACCCCTGAGGTCCTGAGAGCCCTGCGGCAGGGAGAATTTCCAGCGCAGTTCCTGCCCTGTTCAGAATCCATTCGCTAGTGGCCCTAAGTGTTCTTTGCTCGCACATTCTTGCTGCCACAGGGCCTAGCTAAAAAGGTAGCCCAAACAATTGACAACTCTACCATCATTTAAAATGCTCAGGCCTATGACCTCGAGATCTCACTTCTGGAGCTGCATATGGCAGGAACCCAAGCACAAGGCTGCGTTATTTGTATCCAACTGCAGGAACTGGCCAAATATATTGTAAAACAGCACACTGTGGATAGTAGATAGCCATTTGAAAAGAATGAGAGAGGTCTTTGCAAGAAGCTAGACACAAAATAGCGTATACTGGAGGATTCCATTTATATGAAGTTCAAGAAGAAAATAAATCCATGGTGAAAGCAGCCAGAATTGTATCTCTGGGTGGGGCTGTTAACTGGGAAACAGCACAAGGGAACTTTCCGGATTCTGAAAGTGCAAAAATACATGGAGCCATACACTGAAGATTAGCATCTTTTAAACACTAGATGTATGTCATACCTCAATATAAGAAGTAAAGAAAGAGGAGGCCGGAATTCTAGAACTGACTGGGGAAAATGATAAAAACAAAAAAAGTGGCAGAACAACATATATGATTTCATTTTTGTAAATGTGTAAGTTAGCCTGGAAGGATAGCGAACCCTTCATAGTGCTTCCCTGAGTGGGGGCTGGAGGTAAGGATAACCACTTTATACATTTCTGTACTGTTTGCATTTGTAGTGCTTGAATCTGCTGCTCCCCTCACAGCCCCACTTTCCGGTGCCTCCCTTCATGCCAGCCTTGGGCTTCTCTGTGAGGGCCCTACTCTCGGAGGCCTGGGTTTTGACTACTTGGGGCAAACTTTGGCTTCACATCTCAGTTTAAGCCTTGGGCTTTGCATCAGGATCTTTGGACAGTGCTGGCTCAGGATCTGCCAGGGTCTCCACTTACTGGCCCCCAAGCACCAGCATCCCACTCAGCAACCACCTCCTGAGACAAGCAAGATCCGGTGCCTCCCTGAACAGACCCCATGGAAGGCTCCATTCCTGCCTGTGAGCGGAAGCAGAGGGCTCTGAGAGGAAAGAGCAGGGAGAGAAGGGCAGGACGACTCAGGGACCCAGCCGTACGTTTTCAACCCCCGCCCCACCCCGAGTCTCCCCACACTGAGTGGTCAGATCCACTAATTGGTCTTCACGGCCCTGGTTACAAATGGTCCTGGGGGTGAATTCTGGTCATACCTCGGGCCAGGCAAATGAACCGTTGCTCTGTCTGCTCTTTAATATGGATGTGACACCTGCAGGCTACAGCTTGTGGCACCGTGAGAATTATTTCTCCATTAAAATGCAGGAGTTGGAGCTTTGCCCAGGAAGGGCAGCTAAAAATACTGCTCTCTGGGGTACTTGTCACCAGGAAACTTAAAGGCCACCTTCCTCACCCCTCAGTCCCCGGGCAAGTCCCACACCTGCTGGGTCCGTCCCGTGAGCACTTGAGAAAGCAATGTGTCTGGGCCTTACCCCAGCCCTGTCAGAAAGAAAAAGCACCAGTTACCGTGCCTGTTTTACAGGTGGGCAAACTGAGGTTCAGACAGCTTGCTCTAGGTCACTGCTCTCGCTCCATCTACAAAATCACCTAGGGAGCAAGGCTGTGTGGCCCCCACTGCAGGGAAGGAGATAACCCTTCCTGTGTGCCCAGTACTTTATAGTTTGCAGTATCTTCTTACCTACTGCCCTGTCACCCCTCACACACTCCTGTGAAACAAGAACTACTTTTGTCCCCACCTCACGGGTAGGGTTAAAGCCCAGTGATGTGGGCAACACACTCAAGGGCACGGGGATAAGGGGCGAAGGCAGAGCCCAGGTACAAGTCTTTAGATGCTAAAACCCACCCAGAGCTCCAGTGGTGGGACTTCAAGCAAGGTGGCCAGCCTCACACCCAGGCTGCGGACTCTACCACACATGCTCCAGTGTGTGAAGGATGCCACACCCCTTTCAGAGGATGCATCACCCTACTTAACAGATACGGAAATGAGGGTTCGGAGGACAGAGGACTTGACCACAAGTTAATAGCAGAACCAGAACAAAAGTTCATTGTCCCGGCCCCCAGGCCTGCGGAGCTCCCAGACTGACCGGCTGGCCAGGTGCTGAGACCCCGCCGCCCAGGGGCAGTGAGCACAGTGCACTCTGAAGGCACCCACATGCCTAGACCCCGTTCTCTGGAAGCATGTTTGCCTGCCCCATTCACCCCCTCTTCTCAGTCTTTGGAGGTGGAAGGTGGTGAAACCCTCAGGCCCATTTTTCATATAAAAGCAAGGTCCAGAGAAGCTAAATGCCCTGCTCAGGGTCCTAGGGCAGAACGAGGCCCTGGGCCTGGACCTCTGACTCAGAACTAGCGCCCATTCCACTGGGTCAGCCAAGAACAGCACGCAGAGCGCCTTTGCCGGCCTCAGCTTCTCCATCTGTAATATGGGGGCCTTGGGGGAGGCCCTAAACAAGCCTAGCGCCTGGGTCTCCCGGGACAGAGAAACTAGTTGATGCTCCCAGGAGTAGGTGGAGCCCCACACAGTGACCAAAGGGCCTGGCTTTCTGGACAGCAAACTTCACTTTACCAAGAGGGAAACTGAGGCCAGGGAGGGGCCACATGGCCCCAGAGACCCAGTGATTTAGGGACAGCGAGAGGAAGGAGATCCAGCCTCAAACGTCCAGGGAGGAATCCTTCCTGCCGAGTCCTGATGCCCGGCCTGCTTCTACACACTTTGCAGAGAAAAACTTTCTACGAAGGCATTTATTTTTCCCAAAATACACCCCCAGTTAACAAAATTCCTCAGAGCCCCACATTTTAAATTAGAAATCCCCACGTCTTCCATTCCTGGAGAAGGGAGATATGTCGGCGAAAACACCAGAACATCCGAAGTTTACTCTGCCGGAGGCTGGGGGCCGGCCAGAGACAAGCCCCACAGTAGCACAGCAGGGACGGGTGGCTGTGTCCCCGCCCCAGGCTCCCGCCAAGGAGGAGAGGCACCAGGTTTCCCCTAGGCTTCAGCTCTCCAGGTCTCCTGGGCCTTGGCTGCCTGCTAAGCTGCTCACGCCTGGAAAGACACTGTGGAAACCATCAGATCCTTCAGTGGCGGCGAGAGGTTCCATCCCTCTCTCCAGGTTCCTGTCCCCGCCTTCCACTCCGGGTGAGGGCTAAGGATGGCTCGGGGGTGAGGTATCCAGGGAGCTGTGGGCACAGAGTACAGGAGGGAGCAAGGCAGGACGCCCCTCATGAACCGCTGTTTCCGCACGAGTTTCCCAGCTGCAGGTCCAGCTGCTGGAGGGAGGGGCTTGTCTTCTCACGCAGGGACACCGGACACAGGGCTGATGCACCATGCATGCTCATGAACATTACTTGAATGGACAAATAAAAGGAAAGGCAGGAAAAGCAGAGGGACAGAAGCTGACCCCCAGGGGGCCCACACAGCGGCCCAGAGACCCAGTGTGACCAGCACACGCTTGCCCTGGGGAGGCTGGGTGGTGGGGGGCTCACAGGGCACAGCCCAGGGCACCAAGGAAGAAATTGGGCCCGGGAGGTTGTTACGTGTTCCAGCACATGCACCTGCGTGTCTGCGTGCCCGGGGCAGGGCCCTGTCTTCACTAAGCGAGGGAGGCAAAAGGCCAACACTGGGCCCAGAGCAGGAGACACCTATGGACTCAACAAGATGCCGGGGCTGCAGCAGCCCTGTCTGAGGAGACGGGAGGACAGGCAGGTGAGAGAAAGGCTGAGAAGTGAGCGCTAGTGTATTAGGGCCATTGGAGAAACAAGGCAAGGGGTGACTGTGTATCACGTCTTTGGAGAAATAAGGCAGAGGGTCTGTCTGAATATTTTGTCCCTGGGAGAAAAAGGGCAGCCAGATGGTCCATGTAATACATCCATTGGAGAAACAAGGAGGTGGGGTGGTCTGTGTATTGTGTCCATAACAAATAAGGCAGCAGGCTGATTTATGTATCATGTCACAGAGAAATAAGGCAGCAGGATGACTTGGGAATCGTGTCCGTTGGAGAAATAAGGCTGCAGGGTGGTCTATGGATCACTTCCTTTGCAGAATGAATAGACTCGCCAGAGGGGGAGCCATCTGCTGGGGGCAGGGAAGTCCCAGCCCAGGGCTCACAATGAGGCACCAGGGCAGCCAGAGGAGCCCCAGGCCGGGGCAGCAGCTCCCTCATCCTTGTGGTCAGGCTATTTCTTGTCCATCATCTGCATTTCATGATGGGAAGAAACAAAGGGGAAAAAAAGCATTAAATGCCAGGAGTTCTGCTCTCAGGAATGTGCCAGAGCCCCAGGCATGTGGTCACAGACTTGAGGGTGAAGAGTATGTGTGACAGTGGCCACAGCAGTCCCACAAGCAGCCCCCTGTGCTAAGCGCTGCCCTCGAGGCCCAGACTGACACAAACACAGGAGCTGGACGTCAGACAGACCACGAAGTCACCTGAGGGAGACTCCCCAGTCCTCTCAATCCCCGTGGGTCCACCCACCCTACACACTTCCCTCCCACTGGCCCCTCTGCCTAGCACTTTTCCCTTCTCATCTCCCCCTACCTGTCTATCTAATCCATCTTCCCTGACCTGGCCCACTTCTGCTAGCAAGAAACCCCTTCCCACTGCCCCTTCCCACACTCATTTCCCCAGGAGCGATGCTGTGACGAGTCTCCTTCCCTCTGGCTTCTTGTGTCCACGTGGAGAGGCACCTGGTGGATTCACAGCCCAGGCCTCACTCCACTCCCTGACCCAAATGGGGAGTCTAGGAGGAGGACCCCGGCATGTGTGACCACGCCCCTCCCTCTCCCATTCTTTGGGTTCTGTCTGTCCCAGGGAGAGGAGTTCTCTGTCCTGGGAACTGCTCTGAGCTCATCCAGTGTGGCCAGAGACCGGGGGCCAAGCTGCCATGCTGGGGAGCAGGACCAGGAAGCGCACAGCTGCGCAACACTCTCCAGCAGCTCTCTTCTGAAACGAAGCTGACATTCTGATCTCCATCTGCTCTACCCTTCTTGCCTCGTTTGGTTCAGAACAACAGGGAGGTGGGTCATTTATCTCCATCCCTCCTGACCCCAACATAGGTCTCCACTCCCGCCGTGGAACATTCTACAGCATTCAAAAGGACTTGCTTTACAGAGCACTTCTACACTTGCCTAATCCTCACAACCATCTTGGAAGGGAGATGTGACGATTTCGCCGCATTCCACACACGAGGAAACTGCTCCTGGAAGGTCACAGGCAGAGGCCAGAACCAAGGTCTCCCCTCCCAACCCAGGGGGCTCTTTCTTCTGCACGAAGCTGCCTTTCTGAAGACCTCTTAGTGCCGCTCATCAAAGTCTGAGTAAGCCACCCAGCTCTGCATCGTGCGTCGTGCGCAGGGGTCTGAGGGCCCCATGGCCTCCTGCCTCTGGAGTTTCCTGAGGGCAGGGCCTATGTCCTTCCCCTCTCCCCAAGGAAGGAGGAATGCAGGGCGAGCATCCAGGAATTCACTGAAAGTTTATTTCCTAACAGGGATGCCAAGGTAACCTCAAAAAGATTTAAGTTTCCATAACCTTTAGCAACCAACTTTGACTTTCTAGGTGGAAGCCACTGATGTCTAGTGCGAGTCTGCATCATGGGGTTTTTTTTTCAAAATACACACAGACACACACACGCAGATACACATCTATTTCCACAGAAACACACATACACAGATGTGGCTGTTGGTTACCTTCAGTAAGAACAAATCTCAAACTAACCTCCAACCAACCTCTTCCTAATGTAACTGCCGATGTGACAGTAATAGGAGTAATGAGGGTTTATGTTTGCTAACCGCCTACTGTGCACCAGAAACATGGCTGCCCAGCTGGAAACCACATTTCCTAGCCTCCCTCGAGGCAGGAGTCTTGTGACTAGGTTCTGACCAACGGATGTAAACGGGAGTGCCATGAGCTATTTCTAGTCAAGCCCTAGAAGAAAGTGCACCTCCCTCTCCCCTTTCCCCCTGCTTCTGGAAGGGGCATGTGAGCTGAAGCCACCACCTTGGACCCAGGGATGGAAACTTGGAGTCAAAGAGGGAAGAAATCAAGTAAACAGAACCTGGCTCCGGACATCAGTGGCCTTACGATCGCCAGTGCTTACAGCGTCACAGGGGAGAGAAATACAGCCCTGTCCTGGTTAAGCCTCTGCCATGCCTACATCCTCTTAGAGCAGCTGGGGCCTTGGGTACTCTGCCCTCTGCCACCTCACCAGGGGAGTCGAGGCTGCTCTTCTGGGCAGGGAGCCCCGGGCCACCAGTGAAGGGTGATAAGCACCCTCCCGCCAACGACCCTCCCCAGCCTCCTACACACAGATGCAGAGACACACAATCTCAAGCGCCACATATCTTTACCTTCTTTGTTTTCAGAGTGTTTCAGAGGCCGCAGGGCTGCAAAAAATGAAGGAGCACAAGGTGAGGGGGACTGCGGAGAGTGGAGGGGTAGGGGGTCGGCAGAGGGACAGGAGCTGAGGAGGAAGTGAGGGCTAGAGGGACTGGGAGATGAGGCAGGAGGGAGAAGTCGGGAGGGTGAGGGTGCCACCCAGCACCAGGAAAGGGGCGGAGGCTGCTGTCCAAGTCCTTGCTTCACTCTGTGGCCTGCCACTCCCCTCTCCAGGCCTCAGTTTTCTGCATCTATACAACGGGGACTGCCACCCCACCCTCCCATGAACTAGAGACGAGGACGTGCACTGAGTCTGCTCTGCAGATAAGGGGGAAGTAAGGAGCTAAAAGAGGCTGCAGATGGCCCCAGGTGGGCCGGGATCATGCGGAACTGACACTGACCAATCTCTAAGCCCCTTCTTCCCCCCACTCCCTCCCTTCTGCCAACTACATCTGCCTCTGGGCACAAAAAACGAGGCCTGATCCCAGGGCTGCCTCCACACCCACCACACCTGACACCAAAGGCAGAGAATTAATTGGCATAATTTATAGCAGTCCCCAGGTGTCAATCTCCTGTGCCTCCTTCTGTGGGGGTGGGGAGGGAACCGGTGTCAACTGGCACCTTCCCAAATGGTTCCGCAGGAACCAGTCACTCCCAGCCTAGGAGCCCCAGAAGGGAGGGCAGTGAGGCCGCCAGCCGCCACAGGACACCAGTGCCTTGGCACCCACCCCACACTGGGCTCCAGGTTTGTGTCCCCAAAACGCCATGCCTTTGCAAACCACCTTCTTATCTAGTCACTCGCGAGAACTTCAAAATAGCCCTCTGGCGCCATCAGGGCAAGGCCAGGAGGAAATCTGACAAATGGGAAACTGAAGCCCAGAGGAGCAAAGCCCTTTGACCAAAGTTACAGAGCCTCTGACCAAACGGGACTGCTTTAAACTGTCTGCTAATAACAAGAAGCCAAAGTGCTGAGACTTCATAGGCACCAGGTATGGTGGCCCTTTATGTACACTTTCTCATTTAATTTAACCCACACAACCTATGAAGGTGGGCTGTTCTTACGAGGAAACTTAGGCCCAAAGAAGCAAAGTGACTTGCTCAAGGCCACTCAGCTTATAAGAGCTGGACCAGAACTTAACCCAGGCCACACTGTCTCCTGAGGCCTCACTCCCCACTAGGGAGCCACCAGATCCCACAGTGCAGGGTCCCTCAGGGTGCAGCCTGCCCCGGTGCACAGGTAAAGGTAGGCAGGAGAAACGGAGCCACGCCTGGAAGAGAATCCGGCGATCGGCCTCCAGGCCTAACATGGAGGCAACGCCAGATTCACCTGTCTGGGAGGCCTCCGTCCCCAGGACACACTTCATTCAAACCTGCAAGTGAATGGGCTCCTCCAGATCCTGGAGTCCTGCCCTCGTCTCTGTGTCCTTCTCTCAGCCAGTAAGGTAGGGCAGCTCCAAGCTCAGACTTACCCGTCTTGGATCCTTCTCCCTCCCCATCCTGGTCGTCAGCTCCTGGAAGAGTGAATGAAAAGCTTTCTCAGCCCCACTTTTGTCTCCGCACTCCCCCACAACACCAGGGAGCAGAGGAGGCAGGTAAATGGGGCCGAGCAGGCCTGCCCTGTGGTCCAAATGCCGGACACAGGGGTGCAGCCCGAGACCAACGCAGAGCAGAGTCCGTGGCAGGATAAAAGGGCTCCCAGCCTGGAGCCACCACTCATTGCTTCACCAACCCCATTCCCTCACCCATCCACTCACCCAACAACACATCAACTACCACCCTCCACCATGCACACCCACCCATCTATCACTCATCCTTCCATCAGCCCACCCAGCCACCTCTCTGCCAACTGACCAGTCCTTTCTCCATTCACACATGCACTGTCCTTCCTGACGCCCAGTCATGTCCCATCTCTCACCATCTACTTTCATGCTTACCCATGAAAACCTCTGTTTACCCATGTACCACCCACCAGATTTCACTCACCCACCCACCTCTCACCAGAGTCAACTTACTCACCTTCCAAAGTGAAACCTACCTACCCGTGTCAGCTCACCACCTGCCTCTCACCAAAGTCCATCATACGGACCCCAGCCCAGCGAATGGCAGCGGCTTCTCACTGTGCCCGCTCTGAGGCAGGCCACCCCCCACAATGACACACAAACCCATGAAGCTTCACACTTGTGCTACTACATTCTATGCTCTGAACCCGCACTCTCACCACACCCTCATGTGACTTACACGCTCACAGTCACACTTGTTTGCAGACACATTCATCCCCGCATCACACTTCAGCTTTATGGGTCCACCACTCACTTCCAGTCACACTCATATCCACGCTCATCCTGCCTTCTCTGCACATTCACAGGCAGGCTCACACTTGTTCACACACACAAGACATATTCAGCCTCAAGATCACACAAACACAATCTAGCCCCGTTCTTTCTGTCACTGGAAAGCGACACTCATGGTGATATCATGGAGACACACATACCCAAAGACACATGCATGTGTACACACCCCCCTCACTCACCTGCATTCTCCTCCTCACAGCTCTGTTTGATCTTTCTCCAGCAGACGAAGGCCAGGGCCACCAGCAGTGCGACGAGACAGACAGAGAGCCCCACTGTCACCCACAGGGCCTCAGGCGGGAATGTCATGGGCTGCCCTAGGAGGGGAAGTGGGGAAAATGGGGAGAGACTGTCATGCCTGGCCCCCATGGCCCTGGGGACAGCACCCTCTGGCTCCAAGGTGTGAATGGGGGGCTCCCAGCCTCGCTGGGCCCCAACACTAAGAAGAGAGCCCACTTAAGTTCCCAAGCCCCTTCTCCGCTCATCCATACACTCTCCAAACCCTGACACAGCCATGGCTGGCATGGACATGCCTCAACCTGGGAGACGTGAAGAGTCTGCATTTGATCATGCTCAAGAACCTTCTATGGCTCCCTGTTGACATGAGACTAATGCTTCAGTCTTCTCAGGATGATTCAAGGACCTCTATAATCTGGTTGCCACTTACCCTCCCCCCACCTTTCTTTCCAATTCCACTATAGGAACCTCTGCACTAGCCAAACTCAGGTCCTAACCATTCTCTGCAGAGACAACTGGATCCTTCCACACCATTGCTGTCAGTTTCCCCTACCTTAAAAGTGCTACCAAACTCTCCACCTAGCTTAACAGTCACCTCCTCGGGAGACCCTCCCTGACTACTCCAGCCCCACCTGGTGATATTCCTCATCCTACAGATCAGGAGTCAGCAAACGATGGCCTGCAGGCCAAATGTGGCCTGTGGCCTGTTTTTGTACAGCCCCTGAGCTAGTAGCAGTTTTTACATTTGTAAAGGGCTACAAAACAAAGGAAAAGGAGGAGGAGAAGGAAAAGGAGCAGCAACAGAGATGGTATGTGGCCCTCTAAGCCCTAAAATATTCACTCTCCAGTCCATTACAGAAAATATTTGCAGACTCCTGTGCACAGATGAGGTGGGCGCTGAGGAGGCCAGGGTGAGGACCCTGGCTTTACCCAGGGGAGAAGACCTGCAGGGGAATGCCTCCATGAAACGTGCGGGCCCTCCTGTCAGCTATCTCAGGGCAGAAGGGAGGCGCTGAGGCGTCCACACCTGGGTCTGAGCACACCATCCTCCGGCCCAACCCATGCTGGGTCCTGGGCAGAGGCCTTGGAGTCAAAAAATCTACAAGACAGTGCTGTTTCCCTCTGCTCTCTGGCGACCACAGGTGCCCAGGGCATCGGCAGCCGGGGGGCCGGTGGGTTCTGCAGAAGGCATGGTCAGTGCAGGGAGCAGGGCCACGAACCCTTTGGCAGCGGAGGCCCTGGCACAGACACAGGCATTGGCACAGATGTTACCTTCAGCCGGCATCAGGTGGCAAAGCTGCTGCTCTGGACATTAGAAGCAAAGGGACCATCAACAGCACGAGCAGGCGCAGGAGAGCACCTGACGTGAGTGGCCAGGAGGGTCAGTTCACGAAGGACAGGCTGGGAGTCCCGGCACGGGCTCTGGCGGTGGAGCAGGGAGCAGAGCCACAGAAATACTGGGGCGGCCGGGGGGTGGGTTCTTTCTATGTTCATCCCTGGGCTGGTGTTGGCGCCTGGAAAACAGGTCAGGCTGGCCCTTGTGAAGCCGGTAAAGGACAGAGCAGGGCTCAGACCTGCATCTTCAGGCCCCATGGCCAGTGCCTGCTCCATTAAAGCCCCCTTCACACACAGCACACGCAACTAACCTCCAGCAGGTGCAGGAGACACCAGGCTGGAGGACTGACGGTCTGAATCCCAGCATGTTTTACAAGGCACAGAGCTGCCCAAAGGGAAATACAGGCCAAGGGCTCCAAACTAGGCCAGACCTGCTCTGACAGAAACAGGAGGGAGGGGGGATTGAGGGGGGCAGAAAGAAAATTAGGCTGAGAGGCCTCAAGTTGGATTCTGATCCTGGTTCATCTGCTCACTGCAGGTCGCTGGGGCCAAGGCCCACAGACTCGCACGGATGAGTTTAGAGGGGCCACAAACCCTCAAAATGTAAAGGCAAATGACTGCATTTCTTATTGATCCAATTTTCAGAGAGGTGCCTGACCCCCCAGGACTCAGAGCCACTGCACTAGTCTGCGGCCTCGGGAAAGTTCTCTCTTCAATCTGGGCTGCACTTTCCTCATCTGTGAAGTGAAGGCACCTTAAATGTTAGTTCCTAAAATTTAAATAAGGATGTGCCTCTTCGGTGGGATAAACGTTCCCCTGCAATCACATTTGGACTAATAGCCCTTTCTGCCCAGTGTGGCAAATGTCCAGTTCAGCCCAATGTGCAAACTATCACAGAGTCTACCCATCCTTCCATGTCCTCGCAGCTCCCTCCTGTCCCCGGAGACTTCTCCTGACCACTCCAGCCCACTCTGACCACTGCCCCCTTCACTGTCAATCTCAATCTATCTGATCTTTCTTATTCTCTCCTGTGGACACACCAGACCATATGCTGTTCTCTAAAAGGTCTAGGAGACCCCTCAGGGCATCCAAGAACCCAGGGCAGTGACTCCCTCACAGAGAGCACAGACCTAGGCGGGTCTCCAGGAAGAGGGTGGAGTCAGTCCCAGAGAGGGGGTGGGCAGAGGGGACAGTCTTGCCAGAAGGAAACACTTAGAAGGAGGAAGGAGCCTGGACTCCTACAAGACAGGCGTGATGGGCACTGCTCCGAGCTTGTGGAAGCGAAAGCCATGTAAGGTCCAGGACGCTCGGGGGGAGAAGCAAGTCAGGAATAAGTCAGAGGCTTATACAGAAACGAGGGCCCAGCGGGAGTCAGGACTTGGGTGGGCTGGGAGGTCGGGTGGAAGTCATGGGAAGAGAAAATAGGAGAAGCAGACAGAACCTGCTGTCTCGACCACAGAGAATGTGAGGAGGCCTCTGGGAAAGCTCAGTTGCTTCATGGGGAGGGACTGAGGAGCCACACTGAGGTCCAAACACGGATGGAGACTGCCTCCCTTGGCCTGAGTCCTCTTCACACCTCTAGGCACAAGGGGTGCCCACTGAGGTGGGCACTAAAGGAAAGGAAGGGCGTCTGGACTAGGATCCACCCTAAAACCAGAGATTGAGGGCATTGCCAAATGGGCAGCACCAATCTAGTGTTTGACCACATGGGGGCAGCAGAGAGAACCCTGGTCATTCCAACAGCTGCCTGGGTTGAGCTGAACTCTGGAAGAGCTGACACTGATGCGGTGAGCGGCACTGACCACCCGGAGAGACCCAGCTGCCTCTCAGGGCCTCAGAATCAGACGGTGCCCATGGATGCTGCAACACCTTCTCATTATCTGAGAAGTTCCCGTAGAAACGCACTCCCATGTGTGGACCTGTGGATTACAGGCAAGTACTCAGATCCCTGGATAAGAAGCACCTGTTCAGCGGCCGACCCGTGGCCGAGCAGTTGAGTTCGTGCGCTCTGCTTCGGGGGCCCAGGGTTTCGCTGGTTCGGAGCCTGGGCGCCGACATGGCACCGCTGGTCAGGCCACACTGAGGCGGCGTCCCACATGCCACAACTAGAAGGACCTACAACTAGAGTGTACAACTCTGTACTGGGGGGCTTTGGGGAGAAGAAGATTGGCAACAGATGTTAGCTCAGGTGCCAATCTTTAAAAAAAAAAAAAAAAAGCAGCACCTATAGGGCAAATATTACAAATGACTCTTACAGCTCGTTAAAGCAAGTCCCTTAAGGACTTCTTGGGAGGCAGTTTGAGAGACCCGAAATGTATGAAAATGTATGAAAAATCATGACCATGCAAACCTCCCTAAATTCCAGCTTCCAGGACTAGAAAAAAGGCGTGGACTCCCTCCACCCTCCCCAGCGGTTTGCTGCACCTACCCGTGATGGTGACGGAGCCCTGGGCGTCCTGCTGCAGCACGGGGTTGCGCACCAGGCAGCTGTAGGTGCCGTTGGCGCCCAGCACCACCCTCAGGACGCTGCGCACGTCGAACAAGCCCTGCTCGTTGGCCATCTGCGACGTGGTCACGTTGCCGGTCAAGGGCGCACCCTGCCCGTCCTGCCAGAACACCTCAGCCTCAGGGTAGCCCCGGTAGCTGGAGCACGTGATGGTCACCGTATCCCCGGGCCGCAGGTCCTTGTTGGGCTCCAGGGTCATGCTGGGCTTTGAGTAGGGCGCTGGAGGGGGGAAGAGGGCAGAGGTCAAGGTAAGGCAAGGGCAGGGGACGCAGAGGAGGAAAAGAGCATCTGGGGCCGTGAGTACAGGGGTCAGCACTGGGACAGGAGTTCAGGGGCATCGGGAAGTGCAAGGGGCTTACGGAGCGGAGGGCGCCCCCCTCCCAGCGCTCACCTGCCACCTGCAGGCTGACCGCGGCGCTGCCAAAGTCCCGGATGCTCACGAAGCAGGTGAAGCTGCCCTCGTCGGCCACGCGCACGCGCTGCAGCCTCAGGGACGCATTGCCCTGAGCCAGCAGGTCCGGGAAGAGCGCAGTGCGGTTGGCATAGCCGCTGCCCTGGTCGCGGCCCTCGGCAAAGCTGTGCACCAGCTGTTTGGTGTCCGTCAGCTGCCAGATGAGGTTGAGCTGCGCCAGGCTGAAGCCGGGCTCGGGCGAGAAGGAGCAGCGCAGGGTGGCATCGGTGCCTACAAGGGCCACCACAGGGTCTTCGGGGACCTGGACCTCCACGGCGGCGCCTGGGGGCGGTGGGGTAGGGTGGTGAGGAGGGGCGGGGACACCTGGGCTTAACTCCAGGCCCTGTTCACACTTCCTTTAAGGCCTGAGACCCAAAGTAAGTTTACTACCTGTGGTCCTCATTCAGTTAACATGAGTACAGTAAGCACCTACTACTTGCCAAGAGTAAGAGTTAGCAATGCAACAGAAAACAAGACCAAGGTCACACCCCCAACAGAGCTTGCATTTTAATGGGAGAGAGGGACAAAGTAGCACACACAGTCTCATTAGCATGTGATTGGGGTAAGAAGGAAGAAAACAATAGATAGAAAGTAAGGTGATAGCTTTTCAAAAATCTGGCAGGTACTGTACACCTGTCTGTGCTGGTTGCATTTCCCCATAAGTATGTATTATCTTTATAAACGGGAGAGGGGAGCCTAGGAAAATATAAAACCAAAATGTTAATACTGGCTTCCTCTGGATGAGAAAGATCACAAGTGCTTTTTCTCTTTTCTTTTGCTAAATAAACATGATTCGTTTTTATACAAGAAAGAAAGAACACCCATACCTTTAAATATGGTAGTGAGGCACATTCTCTCTAAAGAGATCTTCAGCTGAGATTTAAGGGGAAAGAAAAAGAGCCCAACATACGAAAAACCAGTTTGAGAGTCCCAGGTAGAGGGAACAGCAGGTGGGGAGGCCCTGAGGCAGGGTCAGCTTGCTCTGTGGAAGTATCAGGAAGCTGTCCAGTGTGGCCAAGCACCTGGCTGGGAGGGCTTTGCAAGACCAGGAAGGAACTGAGGTTTTTCTACATACAGTGGGAAGTCACTGGGGGGTTAATCAGGCATAATCATGGTAACAATGCTTAAACTCCCTCGGCTTCTCTGGAGAATGGACTAGGAGGCTATTTCAGTGGTCTCTGGGAAGTGACAATGGCTTAGTTTCAGAGGGTGGCAGTGGCGATGGAGGGAATGGACAGATTCAAGCTTTGTTTAGGAGAGAGAATCAACAGAGCTTGCTGATGGATTTGAGGTGAAGGGAACACAGGAGCATGGATCCCAGCAGCCTGAGATCAACTCCATCCCCAGGGCCAAGGCCAGGGGCACAGCCAGAGGAAAGCCCCCGGGGCAGGGTCCCCTGCTCCTCCTCTGCCTTCAGTCCTGTGGACTTACCCTGCAGGCTCCCCGCCCAGGCACCTATGTCTCCTTCCAGCTCTTCTTTCAGAGCCCTGGAAAGTCAGGCAGGGGTCCCCAGCAGCCGCTCTTCTATTCTTAGGTAATGGTTAGGTGAAGCGTGTGCTCTGGGCACCAGCAAAGCAGGCACACTCCAAAAGTGTGAAGATCAAACAATCTTGACACAAAGATAACTGAATACAGAACCCATTAAAGGCTTCTTGCATTTAGAAAAATAATTTATGGTTAGAGTTTTTATTGTGAATTACACACAAGGAGGGCATATCATAATCTTTGCAGTGCATGGAGATCTCCAAAGGTCTTAAGCTGGCCCTGGATCTCTTGTTACAACCCCAGGTGCCCCAGGCCAGCTCTCGCTCTGGAGACCAAGTGGACCAGGGAGCCCTTTGTAAGGGGCATTTGGAGGATGAGTTGTCACCCAGGCAAACCCTCTCTCTAGAGAAATCAGAGCAGCGTGGGTAGAGGTGCTTCCTTTTTGAGACACCAGATGGCACCAGATACTCGCTTTGTCTTCCGGCCTGGAGGAAGAAGGCATCTCCCTCAGAGCAGAGGCACTGATTAGGGTTTGAAGTATGATGAGGACATTGTTATTAAAGTAGCTGCCATTATTGAATGCTAACTCTGTGCCAAGCACTGTGTGGACAGATTCATGTCATTTATTCAACACGGTTATGGAGCACCGTCTATGTGGCCGGCTCCGATCCTGGCACTGGGGATAGACAGACTCTGCTCTTTCAGCAAAGCAGGCAGTGAGCAAGTAAACGTAAAATCCGGCAGGTGGAGATAACAGCTGGGGAGAAGCATGAAGTGAGCCCAGGATAGGAAGGGATGATGCATGGTGTGCTGTTTTACACAACGTAGCCAGGGAGACTTGCTGAGGAGGTGACATTTAAGCAAAGACCTGAATGAAATAAGGGACAGACATCTGGGGGCAGAAAGTTCCAGACAGAGGGAACTGTGTGTGCAAAGGCCCTGGGGAGGGAGCACACACACAATGTGTTTGAGACAGCAATACCACATCAGTGCTCATATTACTATTTCCCAGAAGAGCAGATGGCGGCTGAGAAATGTAAAGTGAGTTGCCTATTGGATCCTGAGGTAGAAATGAGTGTGGACAGGGCACAGGGGAGAATGGGAGAGGTTTGTCAAAACCCTCACCATCCTTGCTAGACAGACAGGCTTGGCAGGAGCCCTGGTGGGAGAGGGCACCCCCCTCTCACCTCCAGTCCCCAAACTGCTCCCCTCACCTGTGAGGCAGAACCACAGCACTCCCAGGGCGGTGGCCACAGGCACACTCGTGCTGGGGCTGCCCCGTCGACACAGCATCTTCCCGTGAGGCAGCTGACAGCTGGCTCTCCGTGGTGGAAGGCTGCCCCTGCCTGTGAGGAAGAGGAAGTGAGGCCTTTGTCTCAAAAGGTCCGCCCCAGGCCCTCTCTCCCCCACTCCCCTGGACCAGCTGGGGAAGGTTGCAACTGCCCCCAGGGAGGTTCTCCCTCCAACACCCCACAAGGCTCCCTGCTGAGGGAGTTTTTGAGAGATCCTGAGGATTGAGGCACTGGGGAGACAGGACAAGGGGAGGTGGGCAGCTGGGAACCACCCTTTCAGAACTAAAGAGGCGGCTGAGGCAGCAAGTCAAGGCAAAGCTGGCCTGCTGGGCAAGGACGTGCACAGATCAGTTTTGCTGGAGACAGCAGCAGGTAGCGGAGAGGAGGAGCTGAGGCTGGAGGCAGACTTTGAGAGAGGCTAAGAGGTCTGAACTTTACCCTGAAGGCAGCTGGGAGGCACTGAAGGTTCTGGAATAGGGAAAAGGATATGGTCAGAGCTGTGCTTCATAAAGATTACTCTGACAGCATCTGCAAGATAAATAAGAAGAACTGGACAGAAGAGATGAAGAAGGTTTGGGTGAAAGTGACAGCACTTGAGGACTTGGGGAGAAAGGGAGCAGTCAAGGGTCCATGATTTTGAGCTCAGTGACTCAGTGGGGCACTCACTGAGACAGAGACCATGGAAGGGCTCGGTGTAGGGGCGTGTGACATTAGCAGTGTTGGTGTAGAAATTTCCAGGGAAGAGTTCTAGGAGGCAGCTGGGTGTATGAGTGTGGGGCTCAGGAGAGAGGACATTTCCTAGTTTAACACATGTATATTGAGTGACCAAGACGGATCAGAAATGGAAGAAGCCAGGACTGGGGCTGACCCCCAAGGCTGGAGTCAGGACTGAATGAGAAGTTTGTCTGTGGCCATAGGTCAGACTTGAGCCCGGAGGCCCAGGCCCGGCTGGCCCCCAAGGTGTCTGACTTGGGCAGGCTGCACCACGTTTTCCCTGTGTCCCGCAGCCACTGCCTGATTGTTCACACCACGTCCTGATCAAGCCACGTAACCAGCGTCAGTCTATGCTATCCAACACTGATTGACAAGAATATCAACCATTTTACATTCTCAGAACCACCCGGGAGGGAGGCCGATCAACTTGGTCCCATTTTACAGGAGAAAAAAATTAAAGCCCAGATAACTGAGGTGACTTTGTGGATGTGATGTGATTTGACAGTTAGGAATGCTGAGAGAGGTTCCAGTCCCCAGCCTCCTGCCCCACCTTTCTGCCCTTCTTTGGAGCAAACCTCATCAACAGCCCTGAGCATCAATTCCAGTCACAGGCACCCAGCCTCAACCCTTCCAATCCCCGTCAAGCACCCCACCCCCACACTCCCAGCAGCGGGGCTGAGGGAGTCCCTCAGCCAGACCTGGTGCATCCTGTCCAGCCCCCCTCTCCCAGCTGTCTGCAGCGGGGAAGCCCTGAGCAGCCGCTTCCTTCCCAGACACTTCCGGTCCAAAACCCAGCGGCCTAAAGCCTCGCCACCTGCTGAGTCAGCAGCCTTCCCTCTCCATTCATAAAGGCACCCTTGGCGGGCACCACATCCTGCCTTCAAGGGCTGCCACAGCCCACAGGAAAAGCTAGCAGGCAGTGGCCTGTCTGCTGTGCTTGCCTCTCCCCCCAAGAAAATACCAGGGACCAAGGATTAAGAAGCTCCCAGACTCCAAGTCTCTCTTCTTTCCACCTCTAGACAAATCAAGGCTGTCTGTTCTTCCTGGGCTGCCTCCTGCACCCTTCGCACTACAGCTCATGCCTGCCCGCCACCTCCCACCCTGACCTATGCGGCCAGCACTCCTCTGACCCTCCTGCAACCCTGCTCCCTGGCCCTGCTATCTCCACTCTGTCCCCAGCAACCCCATTCTCTACGGTGTCTCCTCCTAGGACCTAAGACAGGAATCTACTCCCATCCTTCCTCCTGCTCAAGGACGTCCCATGGCTCCCCATTTACTGTCAAGTAAACCAACATGCTTAGCCTAGAACTCAAGACCTTTCTCCTCCATACACCAAGCTAATTTTTCACACTAGGGTTTTCCTCCCCAGGATCTCTTGGGAATGCCTACCACATCCATGAATGTAGGGGGATGAGGGGACACCCCTCTCCTGATCAGACCTATCAGGGCTCCCCAAGGGCCAAGATGTCCTTTCCTCCAGAGGGGGAATGGGTCCTCTCAGGGGTGGGCACTGGGCTTGCTCCTTTGACTCCTTTCCTAGACACTGGACCCAGGACACTTCCCACCCTCATGGTTTACCCTGGGGAGAAGCAGCCTGACAGCCCAGAGCGAAGGAGATCTGAGAATTCCACAGCCCCAAGAGGCTCCACCCCAACAGCTGGGCCTGGGGAGCTGAGGGCAGAAGGGAGAAACAGCTAGGAGATAGGTGCCATTCAGGGAATGGGAGGATGTCCTGGGAACAGAGAGCCCGCCACGGCCCATGGGGACAGATGGACCGCTCCAGTACACAGAGCCCCATGGAGATGCAGGGACCTCATGCTGCATGCGCACCACTCCACCCACCTTTTCTACAAAGGGGAATTCTCAGCCCCAGGCAGGACCTGCCCTGGAGTCAGCATGTGCCACCGCTCCCAGTGAGTCATCAGCCAACCTTTCCTCCTCCTTCTCCTTCCCCCTTCTCTCTCCTATCCCAGCCAAATGAGGCAACTCTGAGCAGCCCTGCCAGAAAAGACCAGAGTGCCTTGGCTTTCCCAGAGAAGTAGGAATGAGGGGCCCAGGCTGCCCTCGGCCTGAGGGTACAGCAAGTACATCCAACATCAGCCGAGGGGGAGCTGCGGGGTAGCTCCTGAGAGATGACCCAAGATATGTCCCCATAAAACCAAAACCAAAAAACATGGGCTAAGACTGAGCTCTCTGCCAAGATGCCCCAGACCTGGGGATGCCCAAAGGAGACTGCTTGCCTCCACCATGACTACCAGCATTATCACATATTCTCCTAACCCCCTGCCTCCCCTCCTGCCTAGGCAACACTTCCCACAAAGAGGGCAAGAAGGGTCAAGCCACACACCTAGTGTCAACCTATGCTAACCAGCATAGCATAGAAGCACAGCTTCTGAAAATAGCAGTTAAGCCCCTGGATCCAGCTATACCTGAAGCAAGATGCACACCTAGACAGCAAAGATACCTGAGCCAATCTTTTTTTTCTTTTGTTTTCTTTTTTTTTTTTTGGAGGAAGATTAGCCCTGAGCTAACTATTGCCAGTCCCCCTCTTTTTGCTGAGGAAGACTGGCCCTGAGCTAACATCCGTGCCCATCTTCCTCTACTTTATATGTGGGATGCCTACCACACCATGGCATGCCAAGTGGTGCCATGTCCGCACCCGGGATCCGAACTGGCGAACCCTGGGCTGCGGAAGTGGAACGTGTGAACTTAACCACTGTGCCACTGGGCTGGCCCCAATCTTTTTTTTTTCTTAAGCCAGTTTGAGCTAAGTTTCTACCTGCAGCTGAAGGAATCCTTGAATATACCTTCATTCATGTATTCAGTAACTCATTTAACTATTCACAGAGAGCCTGGTAGGCAGGCATTGAGGACAGAGAGATGACTAAACCATGCGTCTGTTCTCAAGGAGCTTGCCTTCCAACAGGGAAGGTAGCCATGCCCATGACTCACTGCAGTTCAGTGCAGTCCTGTTTAAGATACAGTGGGGGCTACTTGGAGGCACCTCAGAGCCATGATAATCCTAAAGGTGAGTCCTGAAAAATAATGAGCAGCTCCCCAGGTAGACAGGCTGGGAAATGTGGCCCCTCCCCAGCCCCAAGAGACCTGTCTTCCTGGCACTGCTTGTCTGCGTCTCAGCCAGATCTCTGAAATGGTACAAAGTGAGCCCAAAGTTTGGGGTTCTAGTCCCAGCTCTGACCCCTTGCTGTGCAGTCTTAACAGTTGACTTCCCCTCTCTAAGTTCAATGTTCCCGTCCATAAAAGAAGAGCTTTGCTGGATGCTAGTGGAACTTCATTAGCACTTTAAGCCTTCATGTACCATATCCTTAAGGTCTAGTCAATTAGCTGCCATGCAGGACACACTAAAACGTACAAAACAGCTGTGGCAGAAACCACCAGTCTTCCCCTTACACCTTTTCTCTTCTTCCATAGAATTGTTAGGCACATGGCCACTCGGCTAAAGACTACAGATCCCAGCCTGCCTTGCAGCTGGGTGGGGCCTTGTGACCATTTTCAGGCTAATAGGATGTGAGAGGAACTGATGTGTACAACTTCTGGGTCATGCCCTTAAAGAGAGGAGGCATATCCTCTCTTTTCTCCTCCCCCTTCCCACTGGCTGGAACACAGACGATGGTGAGCCATCTGGGACCATACTGCCAAAGGCAACATCCTGGGGACTGCAGAGCAGCGAGACAGCAGGACCCTGAGGAGGCGCAGTATCAGCCCTGGACACAGCCAGACTGTCACATGGGTGAGAATAAGCATCTATTCTAGTGTCACTGTTATTTTGGGTGTTTCTTATAGCATCTAAAGTGACTAATTTAGGGAGCCTCCCTCTCGTCCTTTCCCTCCTTCTCTTCCCCGTCTCCCTACCCCATGAAAATAGCCACTGCTCAGAGCAGCAAAAGGAAACCACATATAAAATAGGTGTTTCAAAATATGACACTGTCAAGTCACTCAGTGATGCCTGCGGCCAACTTAGGAGATATTTCAAGAGTAGACGTGACCGGGCTTGGGGACTGTTTGTATAAGAGGGAGGGGCTGAAAGAGTCAAGGATGGACAGAAGGCTTGGGCACATAATGAGATATAGAGGCCTGGATATCAAGCACATTCAGGGGGAAGAACAGTTCCTCTTGGGCTTGAGTTATGGATCATCCATGTCAAACGTCCAACGGACTCCTGCACACACAGAGAGGGACAGGGGAGCCATTCACTGCAGGTAACGGAAGCCAAGGTTGGGATCCCCGAGGGAGATCATAGACGAGAAAAGGCCCTGCAAGAAATTCTGGAGAAACTGCAGAAGTTAATGGTCAGGTACCAGAACAGGGAACCCATCTCT